GACTTTTTCCGAGTTATATGTACTTTCTACGATTATTAAGACACCACCGACATACGGTGAAGGTAAACATCGTGAGGAAACCTGGACTTATAATTTCTAATTATAAGTTTGAAATCGCCAACAGCATTGAACAAGCGTGGTGATTATTGCTCAAACCTTCTCTGTATGAGAAGAGGTATTTGCTCAGCAGTGGGCACTTATGTGCTGATGATGTATGGATGTACAATTATGATTTTTGTTTTTGTTTATTCGCAAGACTGTTTTTGTTTTATTCGTATCATTATTCTTGTTTTAAAAAGTTGGTGAACTGAGTATTATGTTACTGAAATTAAAATTCTTTTATCCGTCTACTCTAGCTCATCAGAGAATACAAAAACAAATTGTACCTGTATAAACTTATTATACTTTAGTCGATCTGTGTAAAATGTAATATCTACTTAAAAACAAATGCGAACTAAAACACATATTCATTAATAAAAAAAGACAAAAAAAAAAGTATTTTTTTTATAAACACTGTCGTAAATGCTTAGAAAACACAAAAAGATTAATGGCCCATGAGGGGATCGAACCCGCGACCTTCGCGTTATTAGCACGACGCTCTAACCAACTGAGCTAATGGGCCGATGAATGGCATGTCGAAATAACAGTGTGATTGCCAAAATGTATAATATTGTATTATAATGCATTCATATTTTGTTACATCATACATATTATTAGCAACTAGTATTCATTGTATTGTCAAGGAGACAGATTTTGACACTTTTTTAATGTACAAAACAATAATTTGATGAAATAAGCGGTTTTACTAAAGTCGCAACCACGAATTACCTAGTCGGGAGTCGAACGTGGTTCTTATAAAGCAGGCATTATTGAAATTACGATAGTGTGATTCTGTAAGACTTCATTATAAACTCGAATCTGAGTCATCCGCTGTGAGTAGTAGTACACTAGCGCTACACTTGCGAGTTGAACTAAGTAAATTGACAGCAACATTTTGATAGATAAACTATGAGATGACGTTAAAAGTGGCATTCTTTAATGTAATTTCCAGTAATTTCGACGCTCACTTCACACGCGAATAAGATTCATAATCAAACAAATTTTATAGAATCGACGTGCAGGTTATTATAAAATACAAGCAAACAATTACTAGGTAATACCAATTAAACTGTAAGTTCACTAAGCAATCAGAACCGCCCACGGACATAACAATAGAGAAGTTATGAGTTTGTTGCCGGTCTTTGGGTAAGGAATTAAAGTATTGGAGATTTGGAGATGGGAGAAGAGGGAGTATTGGGTCCCCGGTAATATTACGGTGAAACATAACGTAAGCTAAGTTGTTTCACTCCTGTTTCCTGTGACGCCGTGTTATCATTCCATTCGAGCCAAAGTCACAAAGTCAAAATCATTTATTTTACCAATTAGACCCATACAGGCACTTTTGAACGTCAACCAAGTTTAAAAGATATAAAGTGTCAGTCTGTCGGTCAGTTCTCTTAGTAAAGCTATTCGCTCGTTCTAAAGTGTAGATTCCGGTGGAGAAGAACGAGCAAGAGACTCCATGGTTACACTTTTTAAATCAGTTTCACATACAGATTCTTTGATACATGATTTAGTTAGCCCACACATACCACTCTTGTATTAATTTGTTTGTTTGTTTGTATTAAATATACTACAAAACAACTGGACCTATTTCTTAAACGTTTTGTATCAATTTATGTATATGTTTGTATAAATAAATATACCTACTAAGTAAGAGACAATTGAACAAAGAACACTTCTGGCACTATTTCAAGGCTTTAATTATATTGAAAAAGTTATAATTCAGAATCAGGCACTTATTTAAGTCAAATCTTTATGATTCCACTTGGATGAAGGTGCTAGTGCAAAATTACTATATAACAATAACGTGTTGCTTCTTGAATGTACCGTTTGGAAACATTCCAAGTTCATTCTGAATAGTATTCAATGTTTATTTCAGTAATAGAATCTATGTTAAATTGAACACTTTATCTATCATCGAAATCGTACAAGGGCGGATTGAATGTTGAATGATATTCTCTACCAGTCAACCTCAAGGGAGGTTAGGAGGCATCATAATATCATCGTCTGCCTATACCTAAGTGCCCACTGCTGAGCAAAGGCAGGTTTGAGCGTTAATCAGCACGCTTGCTCAAGGCGGATTGGCGATTTCAAACTTATCAGATGAAATTATTAATCCAGGTTTCCTCACGATATTACTAGCTACTTGCTAGATTTTAAGACCAGCTCCTCATTCATGAGAAGCAGGGGCCTTGACCTTCGGGCCATCATGACATTACAAGTGTCATAGTGGGTTTCAAACTAGGGCTTGCTATCATAGCAGACGTAAGACCCCTCTTTGAGGAGTGTTTATAGCGACGCCTAAAGAGAGAGAGAGCCAGGAGAAGGAACAGAGTGGTTTTTAGTCAGTAAAAGTATATTACCCTCTCTTTCTCTCTAACCCAACCCAGGTACTGACTAATTTGAAGCATGTTTTGAGAAACGCCACCGCATCCACGGCCTTGAGCAGGACAAGAACGGATTATTTTTTAGTTACTAAGACTCTGTTACACTCTCGCTCTCGCCGCACAAAAATACTGACTAAATCCTTGTAATATTATAAAGGTAAAAGTTTATAAATCTAGATAGATGTCCGCTTCATCTATGTATGTAAAACTAAATCCCAAAATGTGTTCTTATGAGACTAGACCAACGCATAGACCTATTCTGTCAATATTCTTTTTTAGTTGTGTTTATTATTATTAGGAAGAGGTTCAGAAGAAAAATTAAAACGGATAAATCGGTAAAACGTTGGACACCCGTGCGAAGAAGGGGCTAGCCGCTAGTTTATTATAATGACCACTAAATGGACTCGTATGAAAGACAAAGCATTAAGGTCTAGAATACCAATAATTGAGCTACTTTTTAACCTCATACCGCAGATGAAGCCGATGACAGAAACTATGTAGTTATAATATCTAGAACGTATTTAAGATTAATTATGTAGTTGATACGTAGGTTAGGTTACGGTAGGTACTATATGTAAAAGATTACGAGATAAGGATTCGAAATTATATTATGATAGTGTTTAACAATCTATTGTTGAGAGATAAGATTAGCTACTGGCCTTGTATGAAGTGATAAATAATTATCAGGGCTGCACAGTTGACAAGTAGGGCAACCTGCTACCGTGCTACGTGTCGCGGGTTCAATTTCCGCACGGAGCAACTCTTTGTGTGATCTACAAATTGTTGTTTCGGGTCTGGGTGTCATGTGTATGTGAAATTGTAGGTACGTTTACAAACATACAATTTACGCATCCACGACACAGGAGAAACTTCTAGTGTAGGGCAACCATTTTTAAAAGAAAAAGGATTTGCTAACAAAAACATTGTACGACTTCTTAGCAAGAGTATTATATATTATATTATACACTTAAAACCTAATTTGGTGAGGGAATTATCACCAAATTAGGTTTTAAGTGTTTTTCAACGTAAGTAGTCAAGCACTATGTCATATATACGCCAGACTTAAATAAAATATAACCAAGTATATTTTTTTAGGTTTCTTCACGATATTATCCTTCTACGTAAACTTAGAAAGTATTACACTAACACCCGGTTTCTGAACGGCTTGTCAACGCTAAAATTAACTAATCTCCTGTTAAATCTCTTGTCAAGTCATCTGATTGGTTGTTGATAATTCAGTCAACCAATCAGATGACTTAACAAGAGATTAAATTGATTTTAATATTGATCGGCCTTTCGGAAACCGGGTGTAAGTATAAACTCGGAAAAAGTCAAATTATTACTTTTCAGGTTTCACAACCTGTGCCCTTCACGCATGAAAAACAGGTGCCTTAACCACCGGCCTCCCCGATGACGACGACGACGATGATGATGATGATGACGATGAATTAAATTTAATCAGTCTTTCTAATGTAAATTTCCCACTTTCCTACAACCAACAGTTAAGTACAAGTATTTCCAACTGGTACGCAACTCGACCTTAACCTTCGAAAAACAGTGAAACCCTTGACCGAGTGAGCATTTGAATAAGACAATCGTATTTATTGATCAAGGACAAGGAAATCTGAAGGTAATGTAATGTTAAGAATCTATAAACAAATATGCGGACTGGTATAACGGTCATATACTTGTACAGGGTGTAAAAAGACACTTAACGAAGCCGTTAACTACGCATACTGCAGTTCTAACTAAGTAGCTTTACGCTAAAATGATCACTGGGAAACGACTTTTATTTTTATCAAAAAAAAAAAAAAATATTGCGCGCAATGTAAAGCAAACGGGCTTCGTGTCATTGTGTGCGTAGGTTCACAGCTTAGCATTAAACCGCTGTGATAAGTACGTAGGTCGACGTTTTACTTCGCAACAACAAAACAATTCTGTAAAATAAAAATCCTACTGAGATGCATGATGTTTTTTGTGCGTTTGTGTTCAAATGCGTAATTTATTTAAAAAAATCGAAAAATCGAAACGTTTGGAAAAAGTTTTGTAATAATACTTAGAATTCGATAGCGCAAAAAAAATTAAAAATGCATCTTTGACCTTCAATATCTCGAGAACCCGTGGAGTCCCAGCTATGGTCTTAAAGAAAAAAAGTATCCAAATAATGGGTAAAATACGTGGCTTTCGGCTTCGTTAAGTGTCTTTTTACACCCTGTATAAATAACATGCAACAATATAACGCGTATAGAAGTATCTAATGTATCCCGGGATTAAAACAGCAGCGTTTAAAACAATAACTCGACTAAAATACGCAAATCAAGTATACATAATTTAAAGCCTTAGGAACAGCACTTAGGAACATGTTTGTTGTTGATATATCAGTGAAAGAAATTTGAATCAACTTCACCATTCATCATTCTTCAGGGAGTGCCCTTATCCCCGATAAGATTTCCTGCCACCTACAAAATATATCAACAAACAAGACTATAGGTACATATAAATTCCACTTACCGCAATCAGCATGTTGGTCTGGTCGAAGTAGTCTGCCACGGGCATGACGTTCTTGTAGAAGTTGTTGAGTTCCATCCGCGCCAGACTCAGGACGACATGGCCGAGGCGTGCGCCATACTCGATCTGTCGCTCCAGTACTCTCTGCCGCCAGCTTACAAGGACTACTCCGTTTATAGTCTGGATCTAGGCAGAAGACAAAAAAAAAATGATCAGGTAGGTACCTAACACAGTGGCGCGTCGCGTTCTGCGCACACCTCAAAGAGCCAATAGACCACCACAGACGGGCCCTATAGGGCTGATGTTTAGCCGGGGTTGCGGGGTAAGCGCAATGAGTCACCGTGGCCTCGGGTTAAAGCAGAAGAAGGAACGAAGGGGTTTTTAGTCAGTAAGAGTCTGACACGAGAAGTCATTACATGATTTTCTCCTCAAAAAAGGTACCAAAAATGTATAGGTAACTAAAAGAATAATCTAAGGTTTTCAAGAGCTGGACTATTTTCAGTTCATTGTGTGTTTATAGCAGATACGAGTTTAATAACTTCGTTTCTTAAGTATTTGACTGGGAAAGATATATTTTTCGATCCTTGGTGTTATTATTTAAATTATAATAAAGTTTCCTTCATTCGTTTTAGCGATAATTAGCCTGAACTTTACAGTGATTTTGTTTTTACAAGTAAAAATTCAGGCAAAGTATAAATCATTATGTTTTCTCTCGAGGAGTTCTGAATTCAATTCATCGCGGGAAATGAAAATAATTTGCTTATTATAATAATTTAATAATATTTTTTCTTAATTATCCGGGTAATTATTACGGCCTTCTCGATAACACCACCACTAACCGGAACCGAACGGATACCACCACGGAATAGAAAATACAGATACCACCGTCCCAATGAATTTACAATTTATCTCAAAGACATGAAGTACTCCCAAAATTGTGAGAAGGATCATGAAAAACGAATATCAAAACGCTTATAATTTATACCAGAAGTTTGAACATAGCTATTGAATGAGCTGAAAAAAGAATTATTTTCAGCATAAATGCTTACTACAGAAATACTATTTGGTATCTCAAACCCTTTGTTAAGAAAATATGTCAAAAAGAAAGATTATAACAATGGATGCGTGACGTCAGTACAGAATAACCTTCTAGCAAAGTCAAGGAACTCTTTCCATTAGATTTTAGCATTACCTGTCTATTGAAACTTGAGATATTCCACGCCATCACGTTTCGCAGAATCATTACCAAGTGGATACTTGTATGAGTCATGGGAGCTCATATGTTAGAGATACTTTCCTAACTACATGGTTAATTTCAGTATCGACAGATACTTGTAGGATAAACGCTACATATAGAAAGACTACATATCTACAAAATAAATGTCTGAAATGGTTGCAAGTTAGAATATAGAATCATGTCCTATCTCGAAATCTCGGATAAGAATTATAATATGACTTCACGGTTGGCGTGGTGGCTGCCGTGCAACGTGTCGCGGGTTCGATTCCCGCACGGAACAACTCATTGTATGATCCACAAATTGTTGTTCCGGGTCTGTATGTTTGTAACCGCACCCACGACACACAAAAGAAAATCCTAGTGAAATCGTTTTTTTAAAAAGAAAGAAAGAAAAATGAAATATAAAGTTTCTGCACGATAGAAAAGAGATTTTTTCCATACCAATATTCTGATAGAATCGGGAGATGTTTAATGGGAGAAGCCAGCCATAACCTCCCAGCATCATTATAACTCCTGTAAGCCAGGATCTACACTAAATTACAACTATGAAAACACCAGAACATTGAAATCTGGTGCGGTCCAGGGACACGAATCTCTTCCAAAATCTTGGATCTCGCAACAAAATATGGTAATCAGAAGAATCAGAAGACATTATTAGAGGTGAATTCAAATGTCTCCATTTTCCTCGGTGAATGATGATGGTAAAGAGAATGATGGATTTGGAATTTCTCATCTTCTAAATTCCATGCAGGTTGAGTTAAACATAACATATAAGCATAACTAGCCTTACTTTTCACTTGAAACTACATTTTTTAAGAGTAATAGTAACAAATTACTAGTAAATAAATATGTAGGACCACAGAAACAGGTCATTATGTGTATGACACAGTATCACGTGTGTCTAGCGTGAATCAGAGCGGACACGCGACATGGGGACGAGGAGACAAATTAATATATACATAATTAGAGGTTGCACGGACACTGGACAGCCATTAACCATCCACCGTTTATGTGTTACTCGTATAGGTTGGAATATTTCGGTTGTTTTCCTAGGTAGATAGCATTTTTAGGCCTTCTACGATTTTCCGTTGGGGTTGCGGGTTAAGCTCAATGAGTCAGCACGGCCTCGTCCCAGAGCAGAAGAAGGAACGGGGGGGTTTTTTAGTCAGTAAGAGTCTGACACTCTCTCTCGCCTTATCCTGGGGTCATTTGATGATTTTCCCCTGACAAAAAAACCATCTACGATTTCTTAATTATTTATTTATTTCAACTTTATGCAACAAAACATTACATAGGCGGACTTAATGCCGTAGGCATTCTCACCAGTCAACCTTAGGGTGATGCAGAGAGAGTATGGTAGGTGCAACAAGAAGAGAACTTTGAGACGATAAAAAGATTTAAAAATAATAAGAACACTAAAATAAATATATATATAATATATAATATATAATAAATATATATATATATATATATATATATATTAGTAGTATAGTATATTAGTAGTATATAGAATATTATAATAATATTATAATTATGTAGTTCTAGAATAGTTATATTTTATACGTTTCCCTAGAATAGTTTACTAAACATAGAATTTCAGTTAATAATTTGTTAATAACACAAAGTATTGTTCCGTAACAATATGGGTAATCGACCTCTTTAGGTTTTTTCTTTTGCATAATACAAATATACAGGTATAACTTCAATATTTATTGAGTGCACGGTTTTTTTGTGACGGGATTATTATTTATTGATTCTCTGGAAGGGAGTGTCAGACTCTTACTGACTAAACACACCCCGTTCCTTTTTTTCGGCAATCGACTGCCATTCTTTTTTCTTTTTTTCTTTTTTTTTATCGTTGCCCCACTTTAGGATTTTCTCCTGTGTTATGGGTGCGTTTACAAACATACAATGTCACATACACATGACACCCAGACCCGAAACAACAATTTGTGGATCAAACAAAGTGTTGTTCCGTGCGGGAATCGAACCCGCGACACGTTGCACGGCAGCCAGTTGCCTAGCCACCGCACCAACCGTGCAGTCTGCCATGCATCGCAAGTTCGATCTCCGCAAAGAAAACATCTTTGTATTTTACAAATTTTGTTCCCGGTCTGAGTGTGAACGCATCCAACAAAGAAGGTAGAGAGAGGAGATCATAATCCGGGACACGTTAAAAAAATATAATCCTAAGCCACATCTATCTGTTCGAAATTTGTGAAAAGTAGGACTTATCAGTATTGTTTTATGTGCAATAATGGCTTTTTATGTGCAGCCTATAAACACAGTCATTTTCGCTTTTTATGAAGTAGTGAGAGTAGTTAACGTGACGTCATGGCATGTTAAAGTGTTATGACGTGATCGGTTGTGAAATATATACCTACCTTATGGCAATACCTATAACAGATGAGTCACCATATATCAACATTCGTATTATAAAACATAGATGACCAAATCCAACCAATATTATAAACGCCATAATTGAAAATATAATTTATTTTATTCTTTTTTTAATGTGGCCCAACACTAGGATTTTCTCCTATGTCGGGGTTTTTTTTGTGAGGGGAAAATCAAATGACTTCTCCCGCCCAGGACCGGGCGGGAGGGAGTGTCAGACTCTTACTGACTAAAAACTCCCCTGTTCCTTCTCCTGCTCTGGGCCGAGGTCGCGGTGCCTCATTGCGCTTACCCCGCAACCCCGGCTGAACATCAGCCCTTTAGGGCCCCGTCTGTGGTGGTCTATTGGCCCTATGTCGGGGGTGCGGTTACAAACATATAACTTCATTTGCGATGTGTATACATCACACCCAGACCCGGAACACCAATTTGTGAATCTGACAAAGTGTTGTTCCGTGCAGGAATCGAACCCGCTACACGTTGCACGGCGGCCGGTTGCCCAGCCACCGCACCAACCGTGCAGTCAAATGAAGGATAGAGTAACAATAATCTTGTCACTCTTTCACGTAAAAACGACTGAATAGATTTTGATAAAAATTGGCACATATAATTAAGATAGTAAAATCACACATTCGTATTTATGTAGGTCTACATTTAATCGATACCCTTGCATAATATGTCTCGTGAAGAAGCCGGGGCGTCCTGCGGACTCTCCGTCCGCGTACCGGCCCATTGTGCTGCTCGACGAGGTGGGAAAGCTGTTCGAGAGGATAATCTCAGACCGCCTCGTCGGGCACCTGTCTGGAAGGGGGCCGGATTTAGCGGACGGCCAGTTCGGCTTCCGCAGAGGGCGCTCCACGGTGGACGCCATCATGCGCGTGAGGGACCTCACGACGGGGACAGCGTTGGCCGGGAGGCGAGTCGTCGTGGCGGTGTCTCTGGACATCGCCAACGCCTTCAACTCGTTGCCCTGGAGCTGCATTTTGGAGGCACTCCGGTATCACCGGGTGCCTGCCTATCTCCGTCGTGTAGTCGAGGCTTACTTGACGGACAGATGCGTCATCTACCCCGGTCACCGGGGCGTGTGGAATCGGCGAGAGGTGTCGCGCGGTGTCCCACAGGGATCGGTCCTGGGACCTCTCCTGTGGAACATCGGGTACGATTGGGTGCTACGCACCGACCTCCCGAGCGGCGTCAGCATTGTCTGTTATGCTGACGACACGCTGGTGCTGGCGAACGGGAGGTCGCATCAGGCGGCGGCCGACCTGATGTCACAAGCGGTTGCGACAGTCGTTGCAAGGATCCGGCAGTTGGGACTCGAGGTGGCGCTCCACAAGTCCGAGGCCATGTGTTTCTATGGCCATCGGAGCGCGCCACCTCCAGGTGGGTCCCAAATAACGGCAGGAGGAGTTACCATCGGCGTCGAGTCGGCGATGAAGTACCTGGGTCTCGTCCTCGACAGCCGATGGAACTTCACGGAGCATTTTCGTCGTTTGGCCCCTAAGTTAGAACGGTCTGGGGCCGCGCTCAAGCGGCTCCTTCCCAACCTCGGGGGGCCAAACGCCTCCTGCCGGAGGTTGTATATGGGGATTGTGCGATCCATGGCCCTCTACGGTGCCCCTGTGTGGGCGCCGGCCTTGAAGCGGCGGCCGGCTCGTACGCTGGTCGCGTCCCAGAGGGTCATGGCTATTCGAGTAATCCGCGGGTATCGCACGATCTCCGGGGAGGCGGCGAACCTCCTTGCCGGATCACCGCCGTGGGATCTAGAAGCGAAGGCGCTCGCGCGCGTCTACAGTTTGCGCGCAGACGCGCGTCGCCGGGGCGAAGATCCTCTGCCGCGCCAAATTAGTGCGTGGCGGAATGAGCTCCGGCGAGATCTCATGGCAGAGTGGGAACAACGACTGTCGCAACCGAGGGCCGGGCACGCTACCATAGCAGCGGTAAGACCCCTCTTTGAGGAGTGGCTTGAGAGACGCCACGGCGTCCTCACCTTCCGTCTGACGCAGGTGCTTACCGGGCACGGCAGCTTCGGTAGGTTCCTGTTTCGGATTCAGCGGGAGGAAACGCCCGAGTTTCGTCATTGTGAGGACCACCTAGAGGATACGGTGGAGCATACGGTAGCGGTATGCCCTGCCTGGGCTGAGCACCGCCGTATCCTCAGGGAAGTGATCGGCGGCGGCGACCTCTCGCGCCCGGCCTTAGTCGAGGCCATGGTGCGGAGTGAGAGGAACTGGGACGCCGTCTCCTCCTTTTGTGAAGCAGTCATGCTCGCAAAGAGAGAGGCGGCCCGCGTGAGGGAGCAATCCTCCTCCTCACGCCCCAGCAGCCGCAACTGGCGACACTACGGGCGTCGGGGATCGAGGGACGATCTCCGGCCACCGTAAGTACGGGCCTGCGGTCGGCGAGTAAGGGCAGCTCGCCGCCCGACCAGAACCAGGCCCGAGCGTACGGCGCGTAGCGTTCCGCGCGCGCCTCAAAGAGCCAATAGACCACCACAGACGGGGCCCTAAAGGGCTGATGTTCAGCCGGGGTTGCGGGGTAAGCGCAATGAGGTACCGCGACCTCGGCACAGAGCAGGAGAAGGAACAGGGGGGTTTTTAGTCAGTAAGAGTCTGACACTCCCTCCTGCCCGGCCCTGGGCGGGAGAAGTCATTTGATGATTTTCCCCTCACAAAAAAAAAAAAAAAACCCTTGCATAATATGTACTTCCAATTTGTATAATTTGCAAATAGATACCTACAAAAATAACAATGACCTAATACTGTGACAGATCTAATTCCACACTGCTCAAAAGAGGAAATGGTAAATTCACACTAAACACGTGAGTGTGAACACTACATACATGTAAAAAACATCCTAATTAGTTATTGACTGCCAACAGATTACTGTTGGAAGCAAATCCGCTGCCAGGGTAGCCCACTATGTAGTTCAACGCATTAATTGAGTATTTGACTGAGTCAAAAATTTCAACATTTTAATAAAATAATATATTAAATTAATAATTACAGTTTCATATTTCGACATCCTTCATTTTTTCCGTTTAAAATTGATGGATCCCTAACAATTTAATGAATCTAATAAAAATAATTTCAATAAAAAAATACAGTAAGTACTGAATTTTATTTGAATTTAGTACATTAACAAACAGGAGATTAGTTAATTTTAGCGTTGACAAGCCTTTCAGAAACCGGGTGTTAATGAGCAAGGGGATCCTCGTCAGACAATGGGTAAGCAGTCAAACATAGTACTTAAGCACTGAATTTGTTTAGTTATCAAATAAACAATTGTATCATAATCATCCCTAAGTAAAACAACATCTGTTTCAACACTTTCAAGGAACTTTGACCTTTGTATCGTCAGCCATATTGTGTCCCGACCTTTAATAATTCTCACTATAGAGCAGCAGTAAATAGCTATCCCTTAGAGAACAGTTTCATTTGCAGATACCTACTATTAAACTAATGTATCTAATGCAACACAAAGCAATATTTCTTTATCGACTCGTTTACCCAGCACGAGGTCCCAGGAATAATCGTTGAATCGAAGACAGAACACGTTTCGAAGAATTGCATTTTTCCCCACACTATGATTTTCTCCTATGTCTCTTGAGTGCGTTTAAAAACACACAATTTAACATACAGATCACACCGCAACTCTTAACAACAATTTGTGAATCGCACAAAGAGCTCTTCCGTGCGGAAATCGAACAGCCAACTTTATCAACTATGCAAAGTTATTCGAAGTCATTTTTCCGTGTCGTATTTTTTTGGTCAGAAATTGCGCGTCTCATAATATGACTACGGGTTCTCAGGGATAGTCTCGCTTGGTAGATTAGCCAAATCGGTGATCAGAAGGTCCAGCTAGGGTTGGGAGTGCAAGCTCAATGGTGTACTACGGTCCCGGCTCCTTGCAGGGGCAGGAGAGCCAACTCAGGCTCACCCAGGGCAGAAGAAAGACTGAAATGACTTTCCCCCCGTCAAAGAGAAACTTTTCTAACAGTAAGTACATTTTCTAACAAAAGAAAAAGCTAGCACCGATCAAAGTTTCGACGAAATAATTATCGACACAAAACGTATATGCCCCATCTATATATGTGGATGTCTTTTAGTCAGTAAGAGCCAACTCAGGCTCACCCTGGGCAGAAGAAAGACTGAAATGACTTTCCCCCCGTCAAAGAGAAACTTTTCTAACAGTAAGTACATTTTCTAACAAAAGAAAAAGCTAGCACCGATCAAAGTTTCGACGAAATAATTATCGACACAAAACGTATATGCCCCATCTATATATGTACTTACATATAGTATATGTGCGGTAGCTGTCGATTTTATAAATTGTTACTTTGGCCACAGCTGAGCTTGCCCTTGACATAAATATACCGATTTTTATCCTAACTGTCTTCGCTTCATCGATCGACAATATTGTTTAATAACATTTATCAAGATGGTAGTTAACATTTATATTGTTTCTTTGATTAATTGTTAAATTGATTGTATATATAATAATTATCGTTGGTTGCAAGTGGGATTGCCGAGCAAGTGGTATTTTTGGGCTTGATTTTTGGATCCCACAAAAAGTTAATTTGGTAGTTAGGTAATAAACATGGACTTTGAAATTGCGCACGATGACATGACGGCGTTAGGATAGGCTCATCCCCTTTTTTGAGTGGGTAAAATCATCAAATGATCTTCCGCCCCGGGTGAGGTGAGGAGTATCAGACTCATACTGACTTACAACCATCCCGTTTCTTCTATAGGGGTACATTATTGCGTCTTGCACCCACAACTAAGGAGGTTCAACGTTTTTGTATGACAAAGATATTTCAAGTGTGGGAGGGCCATGCTTCGGCGCGCATAGGCCGACTTGACTATAGTGATAACAGGTCTTCACAGAATGCCGGCGTGAACCAACACTTACGTTGTGTTTCGCCGTGTAATGAGGCCCTGAGGCCCAATACTTTCTTGAAAGTAGAACTAAAAATCCTAAAAGAAATACTCAAGAAGAGTGCTAATATAAGCAACACTAGTAACTAACAGATCTATTGTTTTAATATTATTTTACATTTTTTTTTTTATGTAGTAGGGCGGCAAACGAGCAGACGGATTACCTGATGGTAAGCAATCAGCGCCGCCCATGGACACCCGCAACGGAGGAGTTACGAGTGCGTTGCCGAACTTTTAGGGATTAGGGATTTGAGATTTAGGGCTTAGGGATTTGAGATTTAGGGATTGAGAGGGATTGGGGGCGGGCAAGGATTGGGCCTCCGGTAACCTCACTCACACGGCGAAACACAACACTGTAATTGTTTCACGCCAGTCTTCTGTGAGGCCGTGGTATCACTCCGGTCGAGCCGACCCATTCATGCCGAAGCATGGCTCTCCCACACTTAATTTTTTTTACCTATAGGTTATTTTGTTGGATTTTGTTGTTCTTGATGCGACGTTTCTAGTATAATTATGATCTGTTCTTTTTATTCGTATTATTTTTATTACTTACCTTATCAGAATACTCAGCGACGTCTCTCATGGAACGCGGGTACCCGGACACAAGGTATGTCTTCGCCGTGGGAGCCATCTTCATCTCCAGCATCAGCACCTCCGTCACTGTCGTACTCGACAACGTGCCGAAGTCTTGCATGTCTAAGAACAAGATATTACGTTTAGAAAATATAGAAAATCTATCTATAGAAAAGATTGCCTTGTTAGTTATACTATTTTTTATTACTCAAGAACGGCTGAACTGATTTGGTTGACATTTGGTGCGGAGTTTAGGAAGGGTACACTCGAACGTAGGATACTTTTTAAGGGGTTGTGTGGAAATGGCAGTAGTATCAACAATAAAAATTGGTTCACCCAAAATATAAGACTTAAAATGCCTAAAGTCAGCCCCCAAATGGACATATAACATCGTCTACGGTGGCTTATTCAGTTCTATGTTAAAAATTTCTTAAAGGAACCATAATAATGTTAACCCAAATTGAAAGAGAGCGAAGCTGCGAACAAAAGCTATTTTGAAATAAGAACAGATTTGTTTCAAATCGTGCTTTTAGGATCGGCCCCAGCCTGAACCAGAAGAAGGAACGGGGTCATTTTTACAAAAGTCTTATTGTTCTTTGTGGAAACCCACGACACGTTATACAGCCGTCGGTTGCCCTGACACTGCGCCAGCTTTACAGAAGACGACATAATAGCAAGAATTGTCAGCCATAACCATGTTTATTTAGTTTGTTTCTATTCCATTCGTTGGGAAACTAGCCATTCGAGTGTTCAACATATGCTATAGAGATGTCACACCAATCAGGTTTACATAACAAACGGGGTATAGCGAATTGGTTGTCCGCGTCGCCTAGTTTTGCGGTTACACATTGTTTATTTGTCACGTTCTAAAGCTATTTGGTACCTAATGTTAGGTAGTTTGTTTGGTTAAGACCTTTTAAAAGGTTTTTGCATAAGTATCACCTTAATAGCTTTTGCCCCCCACTTTGTTCGCGTGGAATAGTGACTTCCTGCAGATTATTAGCTTAAAAGCTATCCCATGTCCTTTCTCGAGTTCCAAACTATGTCTGTACCAAATTTCACACAAATAGGTTCAGTAGTTTAGGTGTGAAGAAAATAAAGATAGCGTTACTTTCGCATAGTTTGGATTTTTAGTACCTACTCTTGACCATTTTATATATTATTATAAATAATTATATATTGTTTGGTATAATTCTAATATAAAATGGTGTTCAGTGACGTTTGACGAGAAGTGTTCAGTTAATTTTGAACTTTAATAATGTTCATTCAATACTGGCATTATCTTGTTGAGTGGTATAGGAGACATAGTGGGCAGTGGTTTTTTGAAAATCTTAATGTGTTCATCGACTTTTGATGTTGAATGTACCTGTAGGATGGTTTAGTTGGAATATTTCTTTTGACTTTGCCTTTGGCCGTTTTAAAGTAGATATTTATTACAATTGTAAGTCATCTTATTTTTTTTATGTGATAGGACGGCAAACGGGCACACGAATTACCTGATGGTAAGCAATCAGCGTCGCCCATGGACACCCGCAACAAAGAAGGAATTACGAGTGCGTTGCCGACCTTTTAGGGATTGGGATTTTGGAGATTTAGGGATTGGGCCTACGGTAACCTCACTCACACGGCGAAACACAACGTTGTGGTTGTTTCACGCCGTTTTTCTGTGAGGCCGTGGTATAACTCCGGTTGAGCCGACCCATTCGTGTCGAATGGCTCTCCCACACTTAAACTTAATTCTTATTAGGTATATGGTAAATTGGCAAAATTTTTTGCAAGGGAAATATCATTAAATGCCATCTCCCGCTTTGGGTGAGGCACCAAGAATCTGATACTCCCGTCAGACTCTTGGTGACTAAAACCACATCGTTCCTTCGGCTACTCTGAGCCGGGTTGCGGTACATAATTGCGCTTACACTCACAACCCTGGTGTACTTTATACCCTGGTTGGACTTCTCAAAGACCACTATTTCTTTTATACGTTTTTAGAATTAACACTTTATAGAATACCTAGACTCCTTTGGCCTCGCCTATTGTAAATACAACCTTGCTAAAAACCGTCTGCCTAAACCCTAACTAAGTCTGTCATTGTAAAGATTGAAAAAACTAGGCCAGAACCTTTGAAATAAGTGTCGAGGATAATACTTTGTATTTATTTCTTTAAAAAAAAGTCAAATCATCTATTTCAATTAGACCATTATAGGCTCTTTTGAACGTCAAACATATTTAAATATCAAACAATATCAGTCTATCCATCAGCCCGTAGGACAAGAACATGCAAGAAACTCGATGGTTACTATTTTTAAATCAGTTTAATTATCAGATTCTTTATTTTATTCGCTTGGTTTCATTACATGAGAACAGTGTAACGCTTATATTTAACCAAATAAATAGAAAAAACAAAATTAACCTTAAGGACATTTAGAGAGAAAAGAGAAAAAGTATGTTGCTACATTATTACCGAATCCAAAATAGAAGGTAATATGTTCCAATAATTATTTTTTGTTAATTAACTGCATTAGCTACTCTTACGCAGTTTCATCTTCTTTCATCTGCTGCTCATCTCCTATTAGTCTAATAGCCTTATAAGCTTGTTTTTATAAATGAACTATACAACACAAAATGAATTATTCAATTAGGACCAGTCGTTCCAGAGATTCAAGCTCGCATTCAAGCCAACAAAGGAACTTCAGCATTATAACATTACTAAACTGCGACATTAAATAAAGTCTAACCAAACATTACCTGATAGAATATTTAATCAAGTTCAGGACAGCACGCGTAGTGGTCGTGCCGACCCTTGATACAACAAGCTACTGAATCTGATTCATAGTTTAACAAACAAAATACATATTTATGTATAATCCATTTCTATATTTATAATAACATTCCGTAGGATACAAACATTTTATTAATACGTTATTATTTACTCTCTTATATACACATAACTCATGTAGGTATATACTAGTGTTGGAGAGCCATGCTTCTGACGAATGGACCGGCTCGACCGGAGTGATACCACGGCCTTGTAGAAAACCGACGTAAAACAACCACAGCGTTGTGTTTCGCTGAATTGTCAATCAGTCACTTATAGTACTCCTCAACCGTCCATAATTTTCAAATCCTTAAACATGTAGCGACATCTATCGCACAACAATAACAATAGCACCAATCACGTGCAAGATTCTACATCGCGGTATAAGAGTTCTCAATGCAATTAGAACCGATACAAAAATCCCGACAACAACCGTCGGGCAGTAGCCCACCAGACATAACACCCGTCTGGTCGGAGGATCCTCCCTTTTCAATGGAGGATGAGGAACTTTCCACCCTGTTCTCTCATACTCTTAAACCTTAAATCCTCAAATCTGTAATTCCTAAATGCGAACAATGCACTTGTAACTCCTCTGGTTTTACAATAGTCCATGGGAAGCGCCAAGTGCTTGTCATCAAGTGAACCGTCTCTCTTCCATGAAAATATGTATCGACTTTTAAAGGTGTCATTCAGAAACCAATAACGGAAGAGTTTTTATGTATTGATTAATATAATACACGACAACATAATAAACTTTTCGATATAAACAAAAAAAACCAACCCTATAACTCGATTATGTACCCTATCTCAAAGATATAAGATTGGTTTTTCTTTAGTATCGTTCCATTTTGTCCGTCTTTTGAGTTCATTGACCGCAAACAGATGAGTCGACAAATTGTCGTGTGACTAGGGGGTTCCGGGTTCAATTACCGTCATTGATAAAATATGCACGTGTGACAATGAATGTGTTAACTGAATGTACAAAAATTATAGGTTTTGACTTCTGTATAATATGTATATTAATGTATAAAGGACATGGGTGACACACATACATACTTATCTTTTATTTTGCCAATGGAATCGTTTCTGACGTATTATATTAACAGACCCTAAAAGACTATTATTGACCATTTCAGCTTATACTAAAATAACTAAACTTTGAGCTTTGCTTTGAGGTTTACATAATCGAAAAAGCTATGTGATATAGTTTAATATCACTATACAAGTACGTAGCTTCCGTAACCATACATAAGAGACTACGAGCCTTCGTAGACATTTGCTACGCTTTGTAGCGAGCGTAGCAAATGCTCAAGCCTAGCAAATACTGAAAAACTACTACGAAATATCGTAGCGATTACATTTCGTTTGAAATTAAAAAATATCTCGCATCTGTAATAATAATTCGTTAAATACATAATTAAGAATAATAATTCGTTAAATACATAGGTATAAGGTAGGAAACAAAGGTTTTCCATGATGCGGACGTTTTTTGTAACCCTTCATGTAGAACTATAATTTAGACCGTTATTAAAATTTAAAATAAATTATTCAACAGTTCCACTTCATGGCCATATATTTAATTAGTGCGAATATTACGGAGAACGTGCTGCAACTAATTAGCATAATGTGAATTTTAATGTATTTTTTTCACAGAACATTTTGTTTCGACCGCGAAATGCAGTACTGGAGATCCCGCATTTTAATTTTAAGTTCCCGCATTTTGAGAACAAAAATGGGTTGGCAAATTTGTAAAAAATCCATAAAAATAAATATCAAAACCGGAGTTATCGACCTTTTAAAGATTGGGTATTTGAGAATTAACGAGGGTTTTTCTTTCTCTATTCATATGTGTGTTTTTATAGCGGTATATTATCCATATAAATATATATAGCTTAGTTTGTGCACTGATTGGCGTCATATGTTAGTGTCGGCCATAACTAAAAATCAGCGCCGCGACACTGTCTCGCATAGGGTCGCTACGTACGCTAAGCATTTCACGTGCTTGTGACGCATATTTTTCTCTTACCTTTTTTTGTGTTTTATATATACACTTGTTTTGTTATGTCTCTTTTGTTGTTATGCGGCTTAGACCTGAATAAATACTTTTGTATGTTTGTTTGTTCAAGGGAAAATTGGGTCTCTCACACAAAATAGTAGTTCTAACATAAAGTTGGGTACCTATTCAATGTTAGTTCTAAGCATGGTTCACACCATGATGTTACGACGTCGTCCACCGGGCGACGCATCGACCAGAAACAAACAAGAACGCTTTCTTAAAAAAAGTTCAGTTTCACAAACAAAATTAAAATCGTGTACAGATAACAGCTAAAAACAATCGGACATGTTCGCAACTAATAGACCTTGAGTGTACCAAATAATATTAAAATCAGTTCAGCAATTTCTGAGTTTTTGACTTGAAGAGTGTAAGAGAAGTTTACATGAAAACCCTTGCCACGTAAACGGTCTTAAATACTCGCTAGTGACCACAACGAAAGCGCAATTATACCGGAATTCAACAACGTTGTCCCCCGGCATTGCTTGTCTGATTATCTTGTAGTAATAAACAATAAATTGCAGTATAGTTTAATTATTAATGCTTCCTAGCACGATACGTGTTTAAACTGTACTTTGCTTACTAAATAGTTATATGTATGTATATTTTAATTAGCTTGTTAATTTGTATGGAAAACTGTTACTGCTGTTTGTTTATTACGTACTAATAAACCAATAACGTATTAAACTTTACAATATGTAAAGAATTATATTTAATAATACTAAGGGCCTTTTATAATACATACATAACGCAGACTTATATATATAAGTACTATATAAGCTGAGTACTTAATATAGTTCATTTAACTTTCGAGATATTTTATATCAGACACGGCGGCAAAAAAACACTCGGGGCAAGTAAAGAAAACGGCATCGCCCATGGTCAACCACAACACCAGGAGAAGAGTTTTAAGTGCGTCGCCCATGGACACTCGCAACGGAGGAGTTACGAGTGCGTTGCCGACCTTTTAGGGATTAGGGGGATTTGGGATTAGGGGGATTTGGAAATTTAGGGATTGGGGAAGGGTCCGGGAAGGGGAAGGATTGGCCTCCGGTAACCTCACTCACATGGCGAAACACAACGCTGTGGTTGTTTCACGCCGGTTTTCTGTGAGGCCGTGGTATCACTCCGGTCGAGCCGACCCATTCGTGCCGAAGCATGGCTCTCCCACAGCGTTGCCGGCTTTGTGGGGATAGGAGACTTAAGAATGGCATATATCTATGTATGTAACATTAATAACAGTCACCTAAATCTACGTACTACGTACACTACAGTGTAAACTATATCTATACTACATAAAGTGCAAACCGGGTAGGGTTGTACCGTTGCCGATGGCGTATTGTTGCAGGAGGTCGGTCATGTTGATGTGGACTACGCCGCGGCGCTCCTGCATCAGATTGTCGCAATGGGTCACCTTCCCACTGCCTGGACCACCTGTCCCCAATGAAAAGTCATTAATCTTACACCTAATCTTTGGAGTTGGCATTGAGTCTTGCCAGGTTTTCTCATACAGTCAAAACGAGTTAGACTCGATCCCATTATTTTAACTAACGTACAAGGAGCACTTACTATCTGTTCTCTGCGAATTTTCTAATTGTCATACTTTGGGCACTTCGATTCAAATATAACAACAAAACTGTCAATAAAATTGAATAACAATTGGACTACTTATAAGCTTTTTTTTCTGATACACCGAAAAAATATCCGAATTTAAAAAAATGGCAGTACAGTCGTGCCTCTACTTACTTGTCGAGGCACCACTAATTCTACGACTACCCTCTTATAGCCCTCCTGATTGCCCTTCCAATGATGCATGACAGTTAGGGAACAGTAAGTGTAGCCATATATGTAAACATACATACTTGTACATTATTATACTCTTGCTTAGAAAGTTAGCGATCTTTCTTGAGATAGGTCGGCCGTAAGTAGGTATACACCAGACTTTTAAAAATCGAAATGTGTTATTTTCGACGGTTATGTTAGGGTGATAAAGTTAATTGTCGTGGTGGTCCGAAGGTTGAAGGCACCCGCTTCTCATGCATGAAGCATGTGCGGGTTCGAAACCGGCAAGTAACAATGTAACTTTTGCCGAGTTTATATTTACTTTCTATGATTATTTAGACACCATTATCATACGGTGAAAGAAACCATCGTGAGAAAACCTCCGTGTGAAAAGAGGCCTTTGCTCAGTTGCACTTATAGGCTGATGATGTGTATGATGTGGTCTTAGGGAGTTTTTTGAACTTACCCAATACGAATATAACAGGCACATTAGGTGGTTCAAACTTGACGTGACTGGAGTTCTGCATGGGGAAGGCGGCTGCGGGCGGCGTGGCGCGCCCAGCCCACGCACTCTCTCCTCGACTACGATCCCCACCCGTCGTCTCCAACTCTTCATTTTTTTGTTCTGAACATCATTTTGTTGTTAGAACGGTTTTGAACTTGGTTTGTGTCAATTGGTTTCAAACTTCAGTTATTATATTAAAGTTTTATGCGGCTAAATGGTTTGAAATTTTGCTAGTACCTAAAGTTTTTGATATTCGTTTCCATAATATTAGTGCATTTCATAAATCGAAAGTCAATCATTTGACTCATTTGATCAATTGAATCATTGAATCTTGAATCATTTGATTTAGTTCTATTAACTGACAATTTAGGCAGATAGTTTAAAATAACTACGTATTATGCTTAATTATTGAAGAGACTTTCTAAAAGTGCAAGTTCTCGAAGACACATGTGAATATAATTTAAGTCATCAGAACATCGCCATGCCCCACGCTGGGCGCCACTGTTACATAAAATCAGTTTGATTTTAAAACGGGTTCTAAAATCGCACTTCTTTGTTGGCATATCGCTAATCGTTTTTATCAATAAACTTTTAAATGGAACCTAAAAACCCAACATAGGATTTTTATTCGCTTTGGGTTTACTTAGGATAAAGAATCTATATTACGAAAATGCTCCGTGGATCAAATAACTGTCGTCACGGGTTGAGATCAAATAAATTTGGTTTAGGCATAGAGAGATGGAAATTACATAATTATTTATCTTGTTTCAAATTCCATACATATGTTAACGGTAAATTTATAGTATCAAAATAAAAAAAATAACGTTAAAACCTAATTATTAAAAAGTACATAACAGCAGATCAATAATTACAATGTTAATGAGCGCATCTTCTCTTTAATTGTGTAGAGGTTACTTTTTAAAAACGAAAAAAAAATTAATGAGAAAGATGAAATAGTTGAAAAACTAAAGCGCGCAGTTTAGTTGTAAATAAATTACGTATAAATTGTTCGTTGGAAATAGAAACACAAAACAAGGAACACTTTGAATCAACTTTTCTGTTCTAAATAAAGAAATTGATATTAATTTAAAACACGCAATACCAACCACGTTTAACAATTTAAGCATATTACATTGGCGCCCAAATGGGACTCTTCATATCGATGACAATAACTGACTATTACTGCGTATTAAAAACTAAAACCGTATCCGTATGTAATGATAATTAAAAAGAGTGCGATGGACTGTTTGTTTTGCATTTCCATTAATTCAATGTTTTAGGTATAATTGAAGGTAGTTTTATCGTGGCGCCCAACATGGGACTCGCGTACCTAGACGGCCATGACTAATTAATACGTTTAAAAATAAAGTTACTCACCAGTGTCTAAACAGATGCCCATATTCCATGAAGATGCGAATTAAATTCAAAGTCTTTCCACCAACAAACTTTACGACACAGGGTCCGTAATAAAAAAATATACTTAACTAATGTTTTTAATTGGCACTTTAAAAATAAAATATACATCCAAAACACGCGTGTAGTTCCGTTGTCTATCGGCCACGGGCAATCACACGCGGCAATTAATAGTTTATCGATTGAAGGACGCGACCTTCGTGGACGAACCTCAAAATGAAACTAAACATAAAACTCTTTAAATTGAAAATTATCTCATCTTACAAAACTTTTAACTGATCGACTTTGTTTGAGTTATTCGGAAGTTATGTCTACGTGATAGCATTTCTGCGAGCGGTTTGAATCTTAATGGCATCGCGGGCCAACCGCTCCGTCGCAGCTCTCACACACGACTGAAAGAAACACCTTCCCTCGCCGGCTCAACGGACAAACCGTTAGCTGTCTCGCTCTATCACGTGGTAGACGTCGCGTGAGACGGGGACAGGTCATCGTCTGAATAATTAAAACTGCGTCCCCCTCAATGAAACAAAGTAATTACAGTATAAACTGCAAGAGCAACTCTTGCAGTTGACTGATGACGATGTTTGCTGACTAAGAAACGTTCGATTAGGGTCATGATAATATTTCAGATCGACAGGCCCAAGGCGATGTATTTTATTCATGATCATTACATTTACCGTAATTGTCACGTTCAAAACTTTTCAATTCTGTGAAAAGTACGTTCCCAATTACTGTGTACGATTGGTAAATATTCGATAGTGTACAAGTTAGTTCTCTAGTATGTAATTACCTTATTAATTTTTTATTTATTATGATTCATCGACGGCTTGCGGGTTGTTCGGGTATAGGGAGAACTTTCCTTGGGCCTTGTTTGTACAAGGGTAAATGTTCTTGTTAGTGTTTATTTCGCTTCAATTTTTCTTTTGTAACTACACAATGATATACTGTGACCATGATGCATGAACAGTTTATTACATATAGAAGTTGTATTTTATGCACAAAGGTGAATTTTGTACTTTATGCTGTGGACTTTAGGGTCATTTAGAAATGAACCAGTGCTTCCATTTTGTAGATATCAAGCAATATAATAACTCGTTACAAAAAATGATTTGTAAGGGATTTGCAAGAGGAAGAAAACCTAGGAACTCAGTGAAAAATAAAACATATTGTATGAAACATTAAGGTTTATATTTCATTTGAAACCTTTGCACAGTAAACTAGTGAGTGCAGAGATTCGGAACATTGAAATTAAAAAGTAACAGATTCTATAATCACATCTTTTTATAAATTACATAAATATCAATCTTAAAATTAAGTGGTTAAGGGCTAAAATTGTGTGTTTTAAGTACAAGTTTGTACGATAGAGAATTATCATTTTGTAGAAACTTGAATTCTATTTACTTATATTTACAGTGTGAAGTCGCATATAACGAAGCTTATTTATACATGGAATTTTTGATCTTTATAAAACTTTACTTAATTACTAAATATATTATTTTTCAAGTATTTTAAAACATCAGCTGTCAACACTAAAACTGTAAATTTATAAATTTTTCGTCAAGTATATTATTATTACACAAAACATATACGTATATTATTATTATACAAAGAATTTTCGCAGGGACAATTAAGTGGGTAATTTTTTTTAAACCATTTTTTAATATGAAGCAGGACACAACCTGTATCTTAGTGACGAATAAACAACTTTATTCCATTACATTAAAGTTGAAATTGCAATAACAATTATCATTAACAAAAAGTCCTTAACAACATACAGGGTGCGTTGAAATTTAAACTTTACTCAAATGTAAATAAGTTGTAATTTTATTCGTAACTAAGACATTTTCTGCTTTTTTCTTGTATTTGAGGCTTCAATGCTGGCTGTCAGTAATACCCTTTTATAAACCATTTAATATAAAACATTATATACATCGATATTAGCTAGCTAACATAACACGATTGGAAGAACAAGTTTACTTAGTCTACATAAATGCATATTTAATACCTATTTACAAAAGCAAAGGCCAATTTTACTTATAGCCGAAAAGTTTTTGATAAAAAAAGGATGATAACTTATAAAAATTTTGAATGTCCATCACCTATATTGATTATAAAAAACAGAAAACATACTAGTTTTTCCTTTCATACGAAATCAAATACTTTTAGCGATATATCGAATTGAAATATCTTCTGACGTCACGACTCAGTAATTTTTATACTAAGCGATGATTGTACTAGCGATGGGTATAGTTTTCTTTTACGAAAAAATTAAATATTAAATTGAATTTAGATATTTTTTCATACCTTATTATCATCCCTATTATCTGATGGATAGAGACTATTTAAGATGTAAAATTGCCTTTAAACAAGACATACTATAGAAACGTACGTATTTCACGAAACAATTAATTTTAAAAGATACGGCAGTGCTATTCATTGATCAAATAAAAAAAAATATGGGAGGCGAGCAATCTATAGTATAATTTATTCAACAATAACGTTTGGCGACCCTACTAGGACCATCGACGAATCAATGTTACACTTCAAAATTCTTTACATACCTACATTACATTACAGATTGAATTTGTATGAACTATTATATGACAGTAGTGAAACAAGCAAAACCTGCTGGAAACCGCAAATGTGCTAAAACAACTTCTGACTGGTTACTTCAATAATTAATATCGGTACTTACTTGAAAGAATAAATGACAGAGTATATAAAAAATAAGTAAAATGGGCCTTATATATAATAATTATAAATATTATTATTACATACTAGTGTATGAGTATACAATTTCCCATAATATTGTCTAACACAACTATACAATTGAGTTCCATAACAATAAGCAATTTCATTAAAAAATCGTAAGTAACTAAAATAAAATTATTTATATAAAACTAAAAAAAATGTTAGAAAAATAAAATGTTATAAAAACTTAAAAAAATGGATATTACTTTATTTGAAACACTGGCTCATTGAGCTTTGTGCAAGGAAAATTATACCTTGTTCATACAAAAAACTGTCATACTCGTATGAATTATAATAATACAGGTATGTTAATAAAATTTAAATAAAAGTGTCTTTTATTAATGTGACTGGAGTAATTATTCGTTAAATTTTTTCAATAATATTTTTAGCCGCACTCACACATAATTTAAATCGAAATCAGATTTTCGATAAACTAAATTGTTGCTTACTTAACAACATATAATAAAGTGGGTAATAACGCGAAAAGTAATTATTTAAATACCTTGGAAGGCTTGACGTTTCGAACTGTGCTTTTCGCGTTAATATAATTTTAATAGTATGTTGTTAACATGAATCGCGAAAGTTTAAAACTTAGTATTGCTCACTTGTTTCAATAATATATTTTTTAATTATCCTTTCAATTACCAAAGAAAACATCCCTTATATAAAATATGATCAATTAGTCATCAAAATAAAACACAATAAAAATTTAATAGCCAAATAAAAAATTATATGAATACTTAAAAAAATAGGTATTTTTATCATTGTGCCTTACACTTGTAGGTAGTGTACACTTACAATGTAACTAACATTGTAAGTACTTAAAAGTTTAAGTACATAAACAGTGTTGACGACTAAATTAAAAAAAACGAAGAAAAGTATGTTTTTAATTTTGTAGTCATTGCTTTAGTTTTTTTCTAGCTATTTGTTCTGTGTTCAAATATTTTATTAAATATTTTTTGAGTTTCTGCAAAATAAGTGGCTACCGGGTCAACGTATCCCAATTTACAATATTTCATTGTAAGTTCGACTTAATATCAAAACAGTAAAGTTAATAATCGTATAAATTTGACAAAAAAGAGTATGTTTGCTTATTACTTGCGCTAGCCACTGAATATATCAACGTTTGACAAAAAGCAGATATTACATTTTTAATATCATATTAAATACACAATAATAAAAAAAACTACGTTTAAAAAAACCGACTTCAAAAACAAAAAAGTGTCAAATAAGTAATTAAAATTGATATTTTAATACCACTCTTACGTACGCGAAGCTAATACTTTTAATATTAATAATAAAACACTATCAATTCTATGTGCTACCTATTCATAGGTTTAAAGTCGGTGCCAAGCCTAATACATAATATAATAAGCATGATACATGAGTACCTACACTCGCCGGCGCGTGTGAATTTATTTGTTTGGATTTAAGAAATTTAGTACCGATTTTCTAACTTGATGGCGTTAGCGTAGGATCAGAAGTCTATATGGTTGCGTTACCGGCGAAATTGTATATAGCTTAGAAAGATATTTGGGTGAATTATGAATTCTGAAAGTTTTCTCGTACTTGGTTGTCAAAAGTAGTAGTAGGTAGCTTCGTTGTTAGTTGTGGAAATTTTGTCTTTTAGCAATTAAATAGTCTCTATTCTCATTTAGTTTTATTCTGTTTAGGGCTTGGCACCGACTTCAAACCTATGAATAGGTAGCACATAGAATTGATAGTGTTTTATTATTAATATTAAAAGTATTAGCTTCGCGTACGTAAGAGTGGTATTAAAATATCAATTTTAATTACTTATTTGACACTTTTTTGTTTTTGAAGTCGGTTTTTTTAAACGTAGTTTTTTTTATTTTTTACATTTTAGTGTCTGTTACAAGTTATTCTGTAAACTACAGTAACATTTTAAATATAAATTAACATATTGAATAGTATATATTTTTTAAGTAGCTATCTGTAGGCCTACGAAAGGAGCCGCTCGATTAAAAAATATAGAACCCAAGAAATGGGAAAGTTCTCATCATCATCATCATCAGCCATTTTAATGTTCCCACTACTGGGACACAGGCCATCTCTCTAGGAGAGGGCAGGTTCTTAACAATATAAATAAATTAAGTCCAAACACGAGGTAGCTACTGTAAACCGTTGAGGAGTTCCCTAGACTGTCCTTCGTCTTCATCATCAGATCCCTAATGACAGTCACAATCCATCTAGGTGTAAAGTTCTTATCAAAACAAATTAATTAAGCTCAAACACAAGGAAGCTGCTATGAATCGCTGAGGAGTTCTCTCGACTATCTCTCGGTTCCATCCGGAATTCCCTAGACGGTCAATGGTCTCCATCATCAGGTAAACTGCAGACCTTCAGTTGTTATAATACGTACAGGTACAAAGTTTTCATCAATATAAATGAATTAAGTTCAAACACGAAGTAGTTACTGTAAACCGTTCAGGAGTTCCCTGAGCTGTCCTTCGTTCTCATCATAAGACCCTTAATGACAGTTACAACCAAGCCTGCTGCAAAGTGCTCGCCAATACGAATCATTCAAGCCCAAACACAAGGCAACTACTCCAAATAGTCAAGGAGATCCCTCGACTGTCTTCCAGCTCCAACGTCTGGTCAACTTCGACCTTCGTCAAGTTGTAGTGTTGTTAAAGGCCTACTTAAACATCATACAAAAAAACTACTCGCCCCTACAATTTTCGAAAGTTCCCCTCGGTTTCTCCAGGATTCCATCATCAGATCCTGACCTCATCACAATGGGACCAAATGGCAAGTATATCCTATCGAATAAAAAAAGAATTTTGCAAATCGGTCCAGGCGTCTTCGAGTAATCGGTGTACATACATAAAAAAAAAAAAAATACGCGTCGAATTGAGAACCTCCTCCTTTTTTGAAGTCGGTTAATAAAATCCAAGTACATAAGTACCTACTTCGACATTTTGGTCAAAGGACAAGTAGCGCCATCTTTCGCACATAACAGCAACTGCTTTGAAGCGACAACAAAAAAACAATGATTAACATTAAAATAATATGATTAAATTGAGACAACAAGTCGTTGGATGGATTTTAAAATATCACAATGTAATGTTTTAGTAAATTACTAGCTTTTGCCCGCGACTCCGTTCGCGTGGAATAGTGACTTCCTGCAGATTTTTAGTTTAAAAACTATCCTATGTCCTTTCTCGAGTTCCAAACTATGTCTGTACCAAATTTCACAGAAATCGGTTCAGTAATTTAGGCGTGAAGAAAAGACAAACAGACAGAGTTACTTTCGCATTTATAATATTAAGTTTGGATTTGGATTATTGATACAACTTTAAAAGAAACAAGTGACAAACAAGACACATAAAAAATATTAAAGTCAAAATATTTATGTACATAAGTAGAACAAATGTCTATACTACAATTACAAAGCTGAGGTTGATCGCACTATTCTCGGAAACTACTGGTCCGAATTCAAAAATATTATTATACTGCATAGGCTTTGAGCTACCTATATGTATAACATTACACAGAATGAGCTGAGAGTTAAACATCAAGGATGAATTACGTTAAAAGCACCGGTTCTTATGTTAACAATTAATTTAAAAATTGGTAAGCAATTGTATAATAAATATAATATAGGTAGTTATATAATTTTTACTTTAACAAAATGTATTTTACAAAATTAACTCTGTACCGCCTTATAATTGGGTAGTTTCCTAGGTCAAAAATAAATTGATTTGACGTTTTAATACAATAAAATATTAAAAAATACCTATACTTTTATTCATCGATCGATCGATACACTAAGTTTTAGATATTTTTAGCTAATTATTAAGAAATAAGTAAGTTACATATTATTTTGATGCAAAAATACTATGACGTCATAACTCAGTTTTGCCTACAAATTTCATAGAAAAGTATCGCTTTTGACATTTCGATAAAAGCATTGAATTTGACTAGTTGGAAACTACCGTATTTGGAATATTTCAAAGTTTAACAACCATTCATCCTTGGCTAATATCTAACCTTAAATGTCACTTAAAAGCAGTTTCAATTGAAAAGAAAATTGCTGTATTTTTCTATAATTTTTAACAATTTATCCACATTTTCTGATTTTTTAAATCTTCGATTACCTACTACACATATTTCGAAACCAAAATTTATTAAGTCTATCGAGCTGTTTTCGTTGGAATCAAGACCGTAGGTATATCCAATTAACGTCTCTAGTGCCAAGTACAACACCTTTTTTACTTGAAACTTTTAAGTAAAAACACAATTAAAAATTATTTAATTGAAAATATAGTCTGTATAGTATATTTTTATGATTATAAAGCACCCGTAAAAATAACTTGGAACAATAATATTTTAACTAATCATCGGCTGAAGAATAATTTATGTACAATTTAATTATTTTTATTTTAAAGACATATAAAACAACAAATATATAACAAATTTGAATTGTTTATATCATTAAAATGTCAAAATTATATTTAAAACCATTAATAACGGGGTTTTCATTTATTTTAGTAAATTATTAAATCAATTATATTTTCCGTAGAGCGATATAAATCATCGTATCATTATAAAAATGTCTTTTCGCGCAAAATTTGATGACGTAATGAGCAACACAAAAAAATGTGTTATTGAAAACAAAACCTAAATTCGATTACTTAAGAAACTAAATCCTATGATTGTCTATTAAGTATTAAGGCCTACAATTTGTCTAAATTCTAAATTTCGTTATCTAATATTATATAAAGGCCTATGTTTAAGTTTTTATTTTTTTATATACTTATCTAATATATTATCTATGTTAGAACACAAGGTTGTATGTGGGTTTTAAGCGTGGCTAAGATATTGGAACTTCTTTATTTAAATAAAAAAGTAAATGCATTGTAACAAATTGGTATGAAGGTTTAAATAAGAAAGTAAATATTGATTCAGTACTGGCAGGCAGTAACTAAAAAAATATATTTTAATTACAAAAATCCATTGGCACTTTTTGCCCAACGAGAGATTGAACCTGCGATACGTAGAATAGCAACCAATCAACGAGTTACTGCACAAACCGTGCAGTCAGTAAAAAACAATAACTATTGTCTTACTTAAGGTACAGAATCTGAAAAAAAAAATACTTTCTTATCTGCCTACCAAATACCAAAAAATATCCCGAGTATTCTTTATAATTGCTTAGAAAATCATACAACAGTATCACCCAACCACATAAAACAAAATAACAGAACAATAAACAGTTACATTACATATATAATTAGGTCAACCAATTAATGTAGTCATTGTCGGTTAAAATAGTATAATGCCACGCTTATGAACCACACAATAATAGATTGTCCTACATTCCCTGTCCATACGCACTCTGTCTTTAAAATATATCTCTGGAATGATAAAACAACATATTTATTTATATAGAAGATGTAGTCTAAGAGCCCGTGAACACCAGACGTTTGTTTTTTTAAGCTTTTCGTTCTCAACGCACGATAACAAAGAAAGTCTTCCTTGTTCGTGGACTTGACAAGTCATATGTCGATTTAATTATATCAAAACAATATAGTAAGATTTTTTTATTAATGTTATTCATTGCTAGACACTTAAAATTATAGCAATGGGCTCCAGATATCATACTTAAAGTACTTTTTTTTTACTTAACATTTTTAGTTTATTCGGTTCTTTAATAAAAATAACCATATCAATATAATCAATAATAAAAATGGTTGTGCTTCTAACCTGTTCGAGACTTGAAGAAAATCTTACACCGTTTCAAAGAAAATAACAACGGCTTTAGGTTCACGGGCTCTTGGACTATATTGGCTATCTATTAAGCAGATGCACACATAAGACTATATGTGCTCAATTGTTCGCTAGTTTACATATACACAAGTATATTTTACGAGACTTTAGACATACATACATATATTGTATGTACATATACATAATATCAGAAACATTATATTATTTACTAAATAACTTGATACAGAATGTTAGAGTCTACTTTATTGTTGGAGGTATTTTTAAAAGTACAAATGAAATATATAATTATTATTTTTACTTAGGTTGTTAAAGAAATTTAAACAGTATTAAGATGAATAAGGGCATTAATTCAATAACAATTTTGCAGTCCTAGTAGTTTTTTGAACTTTTAAAACGACATCCACCAATAAAACATCCCCAAACACTGACATCTCGAGACAGAAACAAAAAAAAACATACCTCAAAAAGGTAATATAGCCCGTATTCTTACAACAAGAGTACAAAATAAAAAATCATATAAAAAAAGGACTCACTTATTTAGGCCTTATCTTCTCATAGAAATATATTTGAGCTACATTATTCGCTTCTTTCACTAATAATTTTCTTTTGACGAAGTTGAAATGTTGTAGAGCGAATTCGTACAGTTCATTTTCCATTTTCCAAACTGGTGACTGTTGTATCTTCTCTATTGTTAATATGTTAGGGTCTATTTTTGAGCTAGTTTGTCTAAGATGGGATTTATTGCTGTTCAAGTAATATTCTGTGGCTCCTTTAAAGAAGCGAGGTAGAGTAGCCTCCAGTACAGTTATAAAGTCGAGCATTTGTTCGGTTACACCTACCAGTAAGTAATGGTTGACTAGATTGTGTTTAGCTTCGTCTAACGCCCATTGGTTGCCGGGTTCCCTGGAAATAAATATTGATTTGTGATTGGTTGATCGAGTAGCCTAGGTACTGTAGGTATGTTATTCCAGACTGTGGTAGATCTATCTATGTGGCAAATATATTTTTTTTATTATTTATTAAAAAAAAACGTTGCCCCACAATAGGATTTTCTCCTGTATCGTGGGTGCGTTTACAAACATACAATTCCACAGACACATCACACCCAGACCCGGAACAACAATTTGTAGATCACACAAAGAATTGTTCGGCGCGGGAATCGAACCCGCGACCCGTTGCGCGGCAGCCCGTTGCCCAGCCACCGCGCCAACCGTGCAGTCAAATCATTCAGATGCATTCAGTAATATTTAAATGAACAACTAACAAACAATAATTAGATACTTTCGAGTTGATAATATTAGGAGGATTGATGCCTATTGACACAAATAAATAAGTACAATTTCTTTCCAATGGTTGGTTGTAGGTGCGACTGTCCAGCAAAAGGTATCAGGAGTTATTGGTACGGTATGGTAAGATATGGGGCTAAAATATAACTTTCATTATCTAAGTAAGTTATAGAAGAGAGCGTTTGTTATCAGTTTAACGAGTAAGATATAGAAGTTATTTAATGAAAGAATAGATGCAGACCCACACAAAAAACATTGTGCATCTCAGTAGGATTTTTATTTTACAGAATTGTTTTGTTGTTGCGAAGTAAAACGTCGACCTACGTACTTATCACAGCGTTTAACCCTAGAAAGATAATCTTATTTTGACCTACGGTAAAGATAATCATGCGTCTTTGAGACGTATTCGCATTTATAAGTGGCTATGGGACAAGTTTCCATAAATAACCTTTTAAAAAGTTATTGAATCATTAGTTAAGGGTTTTCTACGACAAATAAAAACATAATTACAATTAGAAAATGATTATAATTTAAAAACAAAGAAATTTTGTAAGCCTCTTAGAAAATAACTAAAAAAATATTAAGTCTTCCTTTGTTGAGTAATTATGTTAATCTTAAACTTAATATCACATTTTTTTTTACTTAATATTATAGAATAAGGTCTTATTAACAGTATCATATAAAAAATTAACAAGTTTTAAGTTTAAATCACATTTAGATACAGCCTTTACATATATCAGATTTGTGTTCATGTCATTTTCGACATCCTTCTCATTTTTGACGGACAATACGCACAATATCTCTTCTTTTTGATTACTGATTCTTCATTATTATCTACAGAATTAGTTTTTGGTAGCAAATCTTGGATATTTACACGGACATGTCTTTTAAGAGTAGGAGCTTCTAACCTTTTCTCCATCCAAGGTGATAAAAGTTCTGTGCTAAGCTTTTTCATGTAATTTCTGAGACTTAGAGGCTTATCATTGTTAGCTATATATATACCTACCAACCAATATATATATATATATATAAAAATCTCCTAAAATATAAAAAAAAAACGATAAAAAAATGAACTATTACTACTGAGAATGAGGTTCAAAAGTTACACAAAGGATAATCATACGTCTCTCGAACGTACCCTATCCCTGTATCTACGTAATTATTGCACTTACCAGGGAGACACTGCCGTCGCGCGTAAGGTCTGCCCGGCCAGTGGGATAACTTAGAAGGACAGAGCGGTACGATGCGAAATAAAAAAGAGATATCAATATTTGTGTTGGCTGTGCGTCTCAAAGACGTAGATTATCTCTCTAGGGTTAATGCTAAGCTGTGAACCTACGCACACAATGACACGAAGCCCGTTTGCTTTACATTGCGCGCAATAAAATTGTTATTTTTTGATAACTAAAAATAAAAGTCGTTTCCCAGTGATAATTTTAGCGTAAAGCTACGTAGTTAGAACTGCAGTATGCGTAGTTAACGGCTTTGTTAAGTGTCTTTTTACACCCTGTATAATGAAGCAACTATTAAAAAAATATATATTCTTCTATCGAAGTACCTACAACATATAATTTACTAGACTCAAGGCGTTATCAATCAAACAGCAAACTTTTTATATTTAACCTTGCACTTTTAAATGGAAAGACATTTATGACGGAGTCTGATAACAAAAACGCATTGCATAAAAACTGTGAACGCTAAAATTAACTGTGACGAATAAACAATGTTGTAACAACTTTTACTTAAGTGTTAAAAGAGAGATAAGCGATTTTCTTTGTAATAAGGTATTGAGGGATTTTTATTTCGTAATTTCCAATAATTATCATGAATGTTTGATATTTCTTTGGATTTAATATTTGGGATTCTTTTGTTTTGTCTTTCTTGACTATCAGGACGGAGCGAATCTATGCTAATGTTGTGAAGCTGAAAAACTAGCTTTTAATCTTCGAAAATACTAGTTCGAATTGCTCAATCATTTTGTATTACCATATCCCATTAATCCAGGAAGACTATAAGCTATGAAATATTACTTGACAACAAATTGCAGCCGAGCAGTGAGTAAAACTACTAGGGTATTGCCTATTAAATGATTCTTATGAATGTAAACATGCAGTTACGTTTGGAAGTGTCCTAACCTGAAACACAGTACCTACTTTTATCCTTTGACCACGCGAACGAAAATAAATATTTAACTGGTACAAATACATGATAAAAAGTTTAAGACTAAGCCTCTGTTAATATCCAATAGCGATATTATTATCAAAGTCATATGCTTATTTATCTCAGGACTTTTCCATACAAATCAGGCCTTTCCTCCGGTCTTTTGATATTTTCACCTGAATCATCTGGTAACCCTAAATGTACCAGAGCTGGACTCTGAGCACGAGAAGGAACGGGGTGGTTTTTAGTCAGTAAGCCAGAGTACCTTTCGCACCACCAAGGGCCAGGGTGCACTACCAAGGACAGGAGATTCATTGAGAGTTATTTGATTACACAATATTGAAAAAAGAAATGGTTATTGCAAATGCGTGAATTTATTATTACAAGGGTGACAAAAAACCTATGGGTACCAGACTATAATCCATCTCTGTTCCCAATTTTAGTAGGATAACATTTATTTATTATTTCCGCAAAGGAGTACTAACTAACTAAATGTAAGGCCTACCAAAAAAGGTCAATACTGAATAACGCTACTCAATTCTAGGATCTACATACCAGCATTCGGCGGCGTGTCCACAGAAAAATGGCACCTGTAGCCACATGTTATTAGGGTCGCAATCCGGCTGACCTCTCTCCACACATTCGTCGAACGTCTGAAACACGATAAAACGACGTTATTAGGAGGTCCTAGGAACTATATTTGAATGCCTAATGCGAGTTTGCTATACTTATAGGCGATCAACACGTTAATGACGTTCGGGGCTCTGATTGGTCAGCTCCAAGTTAACCAACCAATCAGAACTAAGCGCGGTAACGTTTCGATCGCGTCTTGCAATTTGAAAAAATCTCGCTCTTGGGTATCTTAGCTTAGGCATGAAGTTGTCCATTTGAATAATCATAAACTAACAAATAGGTCCAATTTCGATATTTTGAGTCAATTTTGGGGCGATATAGTAATCTCTACTCAGTATTTTTATCTTGCCACTACATACATATGTTTTTGAATTTTGAAATACTTTAGGCATAGGCGTTACTTATCTCCAAAAAAATAATGTATTAAATAAGGAAAACAAATACAGTTAGGTACTTGTAGTGGCCTTAATTATAACAACTGTGTGTCAATCAGAACAAATCAATGAAATAGGCCTTTAATTTATAACACAAACAATAATGATAAAAAAATAGCTAATGATGTCATTAATATCAAGGCTAAACATAGCAAATAATATTACTTTTTTATAGAAATAGAAATAATCTATATATGTAAAAGAAAGTCGTGTTAGTTACTCCACTTATAACTCAAGAACGGCTGAACCGATTTAGCTGAAAATTAGCAGGGAGGTAGTTTAGAACCAGGAGAAGGACATAGGATAGAGTATGTAGTGTAGGTTAGGTATAGTAGGGTAGGTAGAGTAGGGTAGGTAGAGTAGGGTAAGTAGAGTAGGGTAAGTAGAGTAGGGTAGGTAGAGTAGGGTAGGTAGAGTAGGGTAGGTAGAGTAGGGTAGGTAGAGTAGCGTATATAGAGTAGGGTAGGTAGAGTAGCGTACATAGATAAGGGTAGGTAGAGAAGGGTAGGTAGAGTAGGGAACACAAGGGAAAGTAGAGTAGGGTAGGTACTCAAATGACGAGAGCGACGCCGCGGATAAGAGCTAGTTATACTATATAATATAGGTACTTAATACATATAATGTATAAAGAATGATAGACTTTTTATTGATACATTTTTATATGTCAACCTAATTATAAAATAACTTCGTAATAAAAACTACAAGAACAATTACAAAAAACTAACTTACCATCTTGTCACCATGTTTTTTTCGAACTAAATGCGGTCTATAGTTGTCACCGTTTCTTAAGAAGTAATAATAAGAGACTAGTCTGTCAAGCGGTCTTCTAATTAAGTTTATAAATATAGGCTTTGAGGATGCACCCAACCTGAAAAAGAATATTATTATAACAAAATCAATTTAGTATCTTTTTAATTTTCGTGTGCATAACTACTGTGATTCTAAACAGCTGTTTTTCATCAAAAGTTTTCTCCCAGCCCGGATGGAGAGGAAGTATCAGACTATTACTGACTGGAAATTTTCTTCTTCTGTAAAACCACAAACCCAGCTTGTAATCATATACAGCTAAAGATTTTCTTTGTTTTGTTTGTTTAAGTATATTTCCTACATCTTTGGAAGTGCTCATTTGAATAGGCTTATTTGTGTTGCTTAGTTGATTTACCGAGTAAGACTATTGGTTATAAGATATCACACTACAACCAATAAGAGCCAAGCAGCAAGTAAACCAGGCAACAGAAGAAAGTTTTAGATAAAACCAGAAACAAACACTCTATTTCTATTAATTTTTGTTTTATCTCGCAGAAAAAGAGAGAGTAAATACTTCATTTGTAAAAAAACACACGCTTATCATGATTTAATTGCATGGTCTCCTTTTATGTTTTGGTGTGTCTCAAGAGACATAGTCAGACCAACATCTATAAAGATCAGAGTAGTAGAGTTCTAATTTTACCCAAGAAAGAAAACAGCAGTATTTCTTTGACACAATACTTGTATGAGAAACAATAACATTCTATTGAATAAATAGTAGAGACCATATCAACTCAACAAAAAATATTTTTTTTTTTTTTATTTATTAATTTATTCAATTAAATTGGTATACAACAATGTAACAACATAAATATCAACCTTACATATACATATAACAAAAATCTAGATGAACCATTTCTTATCTGACTACTCTGAAAAGAAATGACAAAAAATCAAGATGCCAATGTCTTTTTTTTAGACAAATTTAAAAATAATAAGGGATAGCCGTGCCTGTTGATTCTGTAGTGGCATTTTAATTAAAGAACCAGTTTGATCAGGTACACTCAAACTTCTGATGGCAGCAATCAATGTGTCAGAAACAAAAAGAGCAAAGACTAAATTTTTTTTTATGAAATTCTAACAAACAAGTTATTTTGCTGTAGAAACAAGGGTCTCTTCATACTTCTGTCTGATAAATACTTGTCTGTTTTTATTATACTTGATAAGATTAATAAAACACAGATTTACTCCATGTGTAAGACTGACTCATATGTAAATAGAGTTACTAAGTTGTAAACAATCTCAATGTTATGTACTTATTAGGAGCATGGCTTTGATTCAAACAGGATTTTCCTTATAAAAGTATCTATACTAAAGAAATAAATATTAATGATTATAGAATTAAGATACACTCCAGGGTTTTAGCGCAATTATGTGTAATGTGGGTCCGGCTAAGAGCAGGGGAGTAAGAGTAAGAGTAAGACACTTCCTTTTACTAGAGAACCAATAGACGAGTTTTCCCAAACAAAAAAGAGCTTCACATATATTATTAGAAAATTCTTTACCATTGAAAAGCCAGGTTTGCCCTGTGTTTAATAGACTTACTTTCTATATTTACAAAACTGGGACAGGTCTCTTAGTATGTTTTTTAAGTTAAATTATGACGATTCCAATATTAAAATTAAGATTATAATCATATTCGTTTTCAAGTTAAGTTTAAAATTAAGATTTAATTATGTTAAAAAGTATTTGGAACTCACCGATCAAAGTTTAGGAAGGCCATATGACCGTGGTAGAGTGCTGGCTTCATCTCGTCCCACTTGGTGACGTTCTGCGCGAACTTATACTGATTATTTAGGGACATGATATGTCGATTGGCAGTAATGTTGATATGTAACACCTTAAAGTTGTTCTTCTTACATAAATCGTACGCTACACCCACAAAACTCGTCGATCCCGTCTTCGGGACCCTATTGTATATCACGACCGTATCATCGTCATTTTTTTCTAAACTTTTAGGGAAAAACTGGCGAGATTCCGAGTGAGTTTGCACCAACCTAAACTCTGTAAATAAAACTACATTTCAGCAATTAAATTCTTCAACACACATTTTTAACACAACAACACATGGCCCGGCTTACCTAGTTTTCTATAATTGTCCTCCAAACGTGCGATTTCTGATTGAAAATAGAGGACAATAACAACAATAACGCACAGACAGGAAAACAGACATAGTTTGTTTATGTTGAACATATCTGAATGCGTCCAGACCGCACAACTTCACGCCGAAATCAGCACTGACATAATTAACTCGCGTACATTATAAATAAACATTATTTGGGACACATAGAAATGAAAAATAGTTCCGCGGACGACAAACGCCATGTAATAACTTTCCAACGCTAGATTATGACTTCGTTAATATTTTACATTCCTCTAGTGCTACTTCTCTTTCTTTTTTCCTTTTGTTAGAAAGAGAGAACATGACCATTCATGCTATAACTCATGTAACAACGAAACGCGACTCTACCGTGGTATGTCAACATTGGTATGTCACATTTACAAAAATTTTTTTGCGGTTATGAAAGCGATTAAGTCATATGAATAACCCGCATTTTTTCGTTCGCTAGCCGCAGCGCTATATTGTAGAGTTAAAGGCGTACGACATTGACAGAAGAAACGTTTTATTATGTAAATAAAAAAATAAGTCAGGTTTACAGTTATTTACAAAAAATAATAATTAACAGGTTTACAGTTATTTACAAAAAATAATAATTAACAGGTTTTTTTTATTATGAGATAGGTTGGTATGGATCCACCGACACCATTACACCCGCAACATCAAAGGAGCTATTGGTGCGTTGCTGACATTTTGTGTTGGTAGAGATATGAGGATTGCGGTTTTAAGTTGCGACCCTTTTGCTTTTTTATCAGATTCATTTCGGGGAATGTTTGGGGGAGTAACACGCACAGATTACTATACATATAAACTAGTCCTTTTCACTAGACAATCTACAAAACGTCATCGCTTCACGGTGGATATCTCACTCACACACAGGCAGCAGAAGCAATTCGGCTCCAGTTTTATAACCAGAACCGCCGAGGAGTGGAATTCTTTGCCAAAGTCGAGGAATACATCCCCAAAGTATAATAACCTGGGTTAAGGCACTGGGGTCTCTTCAAGGGTTATCTATTCGTGCTACATTGTAAGTCGCATCATCGCTTACCTCTAGCCGTGATAGCGGCCAAATGCCTGGCCATTACGAAATAAAAAAAATACGGAGGGAAAAGACAAGCCTCCGATAACCCTTCGGTTCTGCGGATCTCTCCTGTCAAAAAACGGCACTTTTGAGAAGTGGGCGAGTCATATTTTAGGATGATCATAATATTAAAAGTTCGTTTTTATATACCTATCAATGTTCAAACCAAACTCATGCAAAGTACTAAGGTAGGCATAATCAAAATACCCATACTACATGAGAAATGAATTGACAAAGCTATTCAAACCGTTCCGGATCTGTGTATACATATATTGGTATTGGCGTAAACCGTAGATCCGTGAGAGTTTATGTATCTGGCCAAGTAGGTCCCGCATGTAATAAGGCCTGGCTACACTGCACTGGTTTACCAGTAAATGCGATGTAGCATGCTTGCTAGACTGTTTTAAATTAGGCTACAAGATCAGGTTCAAAATTCAAACAACATACCTAAGTACCACGGAGAAACGATGCAAAGTGCTCCTCACGACAAATTGGGTCAGTAGGTAGGTATTTTGTAAGGTCTAGTACTTAATTCGACCATTGTCTGTTTTGTGACCTACCAGGATGGGTATATATAAGGTTTATAATTATTTAGCAATACCTACATAGGTTATATGTTTGGGAGAGCCAGGCTTTTTTACTACAAATAAACCGGCTCGTTCGAAGTGATAACCAGGCCTCAGCGAATATTGGCGTGACACAACGTTTGCGTTGTGTTTCGTCGTACGAGTTTGTTGTTACCAGAGTTCAAATTCTTATTCCAACAGACTTCCAACTCCACAGGTGTTGCTGGTGTCCATAGGCAGCGCCGACTGGTTACCATCGACTGATTTACCTACTCATAAAAAAAATCCGAAGATGTGTTTATAGCCTAAAAAAATCACAATATTGCGGAACCTGTACCTGAAGGAGTGTACATCTGCACAATCATCACTGTAAATTGACAATTTATATGCACAGGAAATACGGACAGTCAATAGAACTCCAACCAAGGTGAATAAGTGAATCCTCACCTCAGTGGCCAGTGGTCAGTGTCCAAAGGCGCTTCGTCACACGCAGCCGGGTGCGCGCGAAAAATAGCGCTGACATTAGTTTTCCCGCCAAATGTGGGTCGCTGTACGGCCGCGTTCCAATTATTACGCAAAATAAATTAAAAGTTCACAATTTTATTTAACTGTTTTGTTATTTTAAATTCTATGTTACGATGTCACTATTTTAGTGATTTACGACGATTCAATTGTTTTTGTTTTTTTTCGTTAATGTTTTCAAACACGTGTCGTGTCAAGTCGTGAGTGATAATAAAATGGGATCTTTTTTCTTGAGGTAAATATAAATTAATAACAACACTTGGTTTTTAGTTAAACTAATAACGCGTATACTTAGAATATCTATATTTCATTGAAATGTTGATTAATGTTTAGATACGTGTGTTTACTTTATCTAGTTGAATTAGGTAACGTAAAGGAAACAGGGCTACCAATATCCCTAATGAAAATTGCATCTTACGCGTTAATTTTAAAGTTTATACCAAAATTAACATTAAGTGCGTATTTAGCAATACAAATGAAGAGTTTATAGGTTCCTTTTCCGGTCATAATGGGATCTCGATTCGAGTTTGCACGTGCTATAAGTTGAATCGATTGCGCCTATAAACGATGCGGTGTTACATTTCGATAACAAACTCGAGTTGAAGCGGAACGGTCTATTTAAAAGGGGTCGAGTAGCTATTTCGTTGTAATTTGAAGATGGAATCGACATTATTATAGACGAAATATTTCTGCAATGGTTCTGAGACAATATACGTATTCTAAAATACCTACCTAAGTACCTATTCATAGTTTTGACACAAAATAAGTAGGAAGGAAGATGTTTACCTCGGTTTATTACACTTTAGTACCTACCTTCTTTCATTCTAAAAAGATTAAATGTCAGTACCTACATACATTGTAATCAAATCAAAAGTCGCAATGTTTTTGGTTTGTACCCCTTTCCCTTAAACTTGTCCACAAAAGATTGCCCCATTGACATACCTACATCAATTCTGCAAACTAATCTGTTTGAAACCGCAAATGTAGCTCTAAAAAAAACTATTTTTTAGTTACTCTATCGATACTGTTACTGAATATTTATCGATTTGAACATAATTATGGCAATGTCTTATCTACGAAAGCACATAAAAATCAATCAAACAGAAAAGGAAATGAGAAATGGCGGGGGTTGTTGGACAGAAATAACTATTTGTTACTAAGACTCATCCCTCAGCGAGGAAATTAGACGGGACATGCATCATGCGTGATTGCAACTGCCAGTTATTGAAGGAAGCCAAGGGTATCATTTGGATTGGAAGGTTATTTATAGACTACTGTTAAATGAGGATGATATTTGAAGTATTTTTTGTTAGTGAGCATCATTAGTTTATAAATGTCGAAGTTGCCATTTTAATAGACATGATCTTGTTTACGGGTCCTCTTATGTTTTTATACTAACTATATGAGATATTAAACAAATAACTTCAATATTTTTATCTTGGTTAACATACCAAGATAAAAATACTGTCTGAGACATTCATAAATGGATTGTACCTAATTACATTATGTTACGCCTGGAAGAGATTTTGGACATTGGTAAACAGGAGCTTCTTCTTACCGGACTGATAAACTCTTGGACTAATTTAAGTACAATGGATTATCGTACCTATTTCCAGTTATGAGTAGGTAGGTATCGCTTTAATTTTTCACCTTATTTCCTATCAACATACTTACGCATGTACCCTTTTTATTCAAGTCCCTGACCACTGTGTCAGCAGTCATCCAGGATCTTAAAGTCAATGTAAGGATTAAATGCATTATTTGTTACCTACATGGTGTTAATGTATGCCCCGTCCCATAGTCCCGTCGGTACGCCAGTCGGAAACCACACGTCTTGCCGGGCGCACGTTTAATTTTATCAACGCCCTTCACGATCGCGCTTTCGAAATATAGATCAAGTTTACAATAGTAAAACACCCATTGTTTTGACACGCAACAAAAAAACAGCAGAGCAAAAAATTGTGGATTAATTTAAAAAAAAACCGTTACATTTTAGGATTTTTTTTGAAAATGGAAGTGGACCGTATTTTGTATATTTTCGGCAGTTTTACACGCAAGAAGCAGGATAAGAGGAAGTCTTTGGAACAGCTGTCTTTGAGTGCTGGGAACAGTCCTTTACACGTTAAAGGTCCAAGGCGACCTGTCAGTCAGAACCTGAACGTAGCCCCACGAACTTCAGCCTATAACGATGAGAGAAAGAGTAAGGTGAAGGAATGGGAATGCGGGATTTGTAAGAAGGAGCTCGTGGAACCGAGGCTTTTGGGATGTCTGCACAACTTCTGCACGAGATGTCTTCAGGGGCTGCACCAAGAAGGAGAAGCTGAGATATGGAGTGAGGTTGACGGAGGTGAGTGAATTTACTTACTTTCTTATTATGAGTATTTACATCTGATGTTGGGTACAAAGAAATTTGGTCTAAGTAGAAAGAAGGCTCGAATGTATACATATTATTATATCAGTTTAGAGAAAAATCGTCAAATGGCTTCTTTTTCTTGATGCGAGAATATTGCGATAGTACCCACATCCCCGACCGTCTCTTGTTTTTAGCGTATACTTATTTCTTGCTTCCTCACCCATCCTTCTGAAAATCAGCAGTTAAATAATGTCAATTCTCCATAATAGTTAGAAGACTCTGTGTTTGGCAAACTTGGGTAGGGCTCATTCCGTAATTAGCTAAAAGCAAGCCTCTTAAAATTAGCTAAAAGCAACAATTCTACTTACAATTTGGGTAAATAGCAGAAACAGGTTATACTAAGTATAAGTAGGTACTATGCTACTTATACTTAGTATAGTAGGTTGCTATGCTGGTTGCAAAGTGACACTTGCGTGCGTGTCTTCAGAACGGGTCCACTTAAACTGGTGTGGTTCTTTCATCAAAAGACCACTACAGAATGAACTTGCACGGTTCTCTCACATTATGTTATTTTTACATTGTCTGGACTTGAAAATAGACTGACCTCTGAGTTTGTTTCGGCATTTCTTCTCAGAGTAGTCAGATAGGAAATGCCGGCTTCATCTAGTTTTTCACATATAAATTGACGTGTAAAAGTGCCGTTTTATGGGTTATTTGCAAAAATAAATTCATTGTTTCATCATTTCATGAACGAACGTGCGAAAACCTTGGAACCCAGAATAATCTGTTAATTAAATTATTTTTAACAACTGATTATACCTTTCCGCAATCAGAACGAAAAAATAGAGCAGAAACATTGTTAGGCTTCTTCGATCAGCTGTTTGGCGCATCCCCTCTTACATACTTATCATTAATTTAATTACGTCAATTGACGGCCCCGATCCCCGACAGGTAAAGCCATGCAATATGGATTTAAAGACATTATTTCACTACGAGGCTTTTACATATTTCTTGACCGTTTATCAGTGATTATTTTCACGGCGAATATTAGGTCCTTTTCCCCTTTTCTAGTTCATTTCAGTCCACGTACTTATAATACTCGTTGTTGTTATTTCGAAAACCTGAAGTATCTGACACCAATTTAACCATTCGTTCGTAGTTATTTGAGAAACAATAGGTGTGCGAATCACGCCGGATTAAGATCTATTTTTTGTTTTATATTAAGGTACTTATTATGTAATGTATGTGGCGTGAAATAACCACAGCGTTGTGTTTCGCCGTGTGAGTGAGGTTACCGGAGGCCCAATCCTTCCCCTCCCCCAATCCCTCCTAAATCTTAGGGATTTCCCAATCCCTAATCCCTAAAAGGTCGGCAACGCACTCGTAACTCCTCCGTTGCGAGTGTCCATGGGCGGCGCTGATTGCTTACCATCAGGTAATGCGTCTGCTCCTTTGCCGAACTAATGAAAAGAGGTTTTTACTAACAATACAGAGAACTTGTTTAAGTCAGAAACCATAATGTAACTCGGTTACATTATGGTTATATATTCCATTCAATCTGATTAAAGATCCAGAGTCGACCCTAATCCGGGATAAAGTCAGGAAAAAAAGAGTTCCGATACGTTTATTGTAGACCAAGGAGTTGAACGTTTCACCTAATTACAGGTACCTAGGTAAGCTGAACTATAATATAATAAAACAAGCAATAAATGTTAGCCCAGAATAGCATGAGACAATTTATTCATTTTCTGAATACGACAAACAATCACCAATGTAAGTAAACATTTTCAAGCAACACAACACAAGGTTATAAAAACCTAAGTATTATGGGAATGATTTTTTTTCTTGATAAGTAACCGAACATAACAAGTATGACTGAATTATGAAGAATAATCGTCATCAATCGAAGAGGAAGATAAAACGAATGATAAATCAACTAACTAAACAGAACAATGTAATAAATTAAGTAAGTAGATGCATAATAATAAGCTAAAAACCCTGTTCTCTGTTTTATAAGTCTTTAAAAAGTTTCTTAAATACTCCAAAACAAATTAAGCACTAACATATTTTACGATACGACCACATCATTTAATATCGCATAACAGCATCAGCTGTTATCCCCATTAAACAATCCTTAAACACCTTTATTACAGTTACCAATTAGAAAGAACCCTTCGCCAACAGAGTTTTCTTTCCAAAAGTCTTCAGAGAGCACACTTTGGACGGGTCTTTGTTTAACGGTTTTAGTTTTTATGATAAAATATAGCCTTTTTACGGCCTCTTGAGTCAGCAAGGGGCATCTGAAATGGCTATTATCAGGAGTAATGGGTCATTAATGGATCAATTGGAATCGGTTGGACTATTTAGTGCTAAATACTCATTCGTTGCATTTGGAGTATTAAAAGCTTGCTAAGTAGGTTTATTGTGCCTTTTGATCTTTCAGACGTCTGTGTATTGAAGTTATTATTGATTTCGTTGAAGGTGGATTGTGTGGAGTTTGCATACAGTGAGTAGAATACATAATTATCCCTTCCAACTCCTTTACCTGAGGGTAAAACGACCTCAAACACTACTACTAGGTACTATTGACTGCAGTTGGCGCGGTGGCTGGGTAAATAAGTTGCCGCGGAACGTGTCGCGAATTCGCACGGAACAACTATTTGTGTGATCCATAAACTGTTGTTCCGCTTATGGGTGTGTGCGAAAAAGAAGTTGGACGATTTTCAGTGTAAAAAAAAACACATTAACTCTCTCTGGGGTCTGGGCCATTACTTTATCACTGAGAAATCGTTTAAGCCTTTGACTGCCGACAGTAAACTGTTGAAGGCAAATCCTCCGCTAACGGAGGTCACCGGTGACCCCCATGGCGCTTAACGTGTTAAAAACTGAAATCCCTTGCATTTTACCCCTTCCTTTTAAGTCGTATTCTCTCTCAATTTCGTTTGTCCTACTTCTTCGCAAACGATGAACGACAAAACCATTAACCAATTTTACTTCAAGTAAAATGTACAAACACAGTAAAAAAGAATCAGTGATATCCGTTCGGCGTTTTTGGAGATTGGAACTTAGCAATTCACATACGGTTCTAAAAATCGCATTCAAAATTATCATGGTAAAAAATTTCACATTCGTTCTATTTAATATATTATTATAGCAAGTAGCAACAACATTGTATTGAAGACCAGTGATGCTCGAAGTACGTTCCGTACGTACGGAAGCCATTCAACTAGTCTCCTGACCTAGCCGCGTAATCTCATCATTTTTATGTCAACGCCTATATTATAATATTATTACCAGTTTGTGGGAAAGCCATGCTTCGGCACGAATTGGCCGGCTCGACTAAAGTGATACCACGGCCTCACAGAAAACCAGCGTGAACCAATATTTACGTTGTGTTTTTCGCCATGTGAGCGAGGTAACCGGAGCCGGAACCTCAATCCTTAGAAGGAGGAGGTGGTTTGATCCGCGACCTGACTCCAGTAGGTCGTAGCTTAGTGTTTGACTATGGTTTACCTCCATATATGGATCACATAGAAGTCATTGTTCAATTCGAACGTTCATACAAACAAACAAACAAGCCCATTCAGCGTTATAATATGAATATAAAAAGTATAAGGTTGCCTATGGTAGAGGATGTGGGTTTTTCGAAACCTGACAAGTACCAAAGTTACAATAGGTACATCAAGTCACAAATGAGTTTTCGCGCCTAGGGTGGGGCGGGTAGGAGTGTCAGACTCTTACTGACTAAAAATTCCCCGTTCTTTCTCCTGCTCCTGATCGAGGTCGCGGGCCCCATTGCGCTTTCCTCGCAACCCCGTTAGACCTTGCTTGAGCAAACATTTTTAACAATCAAGTGTGGGAGAACAATGCTTTGGCACGATTGGGTCGGCTCGACCGGAGTGATACCACGGCCTGTAGAAAACCTGAAACAACCACAGCGTTGTGTTTTGTCGTTTGAGTGAGGTTACCAGAGGCCCAATCCTTCCCCCCCAATCCCTCCTCAATCCCTGAGTCTCCAAATCCCTAATCCTTAAAAGGTCGACAACGCACTCGTAACTCCTCCGTTGCGGGTGTCTATGGGCGGCACTGATTGTTTACCATCAGGTAATCCGTCTGCTCCTTTGCCGAACTATTACATAAAAAAAAACTTCGTCTTTCTCTGAATGAAAGGAGGTTTTTACTTAACCGTACAAAGAACTTGTTTAAGTTAGAAACCATAATGTAACTCGGTTATGTCTCATTGATTCAAACAGGAACTAAGCTAATGTGTTTCTATATTTAGGGTTGCCACCGGGCGCGCTATGACAGGGCTTCACAAACAAACATTATGCCGCACTGAAATACCAATATAGTCTAAGTTTTTTTTACGTTGCTAATGAATGAACATTAAAAGTAAATAAAAACTGTTTCAGTTAACTAGTTTTTTATACAATTTCTAAAATGTTGTGTTGTTTAACATAGGTTGCTTTATTTTGCCGTTATGTTTAAATACAAAATCGCAGAGATGCTATCCAGTAACTTCAAGGCTAGAGTGAATAGGCTTTTAATAAACTAGTGCGCCTTACTATCAACGATTGCATTTCTGCTTAACATCAGGTGGGATCGCAGTCAAGCACTAGTTTATTGCAAGTAAAAAAAAAAAGAATTGGTCGGCTCGAGCGGAGTGTTACCACGGCCTTGCAAAAAGCAGGCGTGAAACAACACTTGAGTTGTGTTTCGCTTTCGTTTTGTTTGAATGATGTGAATCAAAATCATAAACTCTCATCCCTATTCTCACAAATCTCAAAACCCTACCTCGCAAGGTTTTTCGCCATGATATGTTATCGATGCAAATATTATAAAGAGGTAAAATTTGTAAGTTTGTATGTATTTTTTATGGTATAAGTCGGCAAACGAGCAGACGGACTACCTGATGGTAAGCAATCGGCGCCGCCCATGGACACCCGCAACACCAAAGGAGTTACGAGTTGACTGCACAGTTGGTGCGGTGGCTGGGCAACTGGCTGCCGTGCAACGTGTCGCGGGTTCGATTCCCGCACGGAACAACACTTTGTGTGATCCACAAATTGTTGTTTCGGTTCTGGGTGTCATGTGTATGTGACATTGTATGTTTGTAAACGCACCCACAACACAGGAGAAAATCCTACTGTGGGCCAACGTTTTTTAAAAAAGAAAAAGAAAAAAAAAGAGTGCGTTGCTGCCTTTTAGGGTTAGGGGTTGCGGATATAAGGATCGGGAAGGGGCGGGATTGTTCCTCCGGTAACCTTACTCACACGGCGAAACACAACGCTGGCAGCGGGTGAAACCACGCGAGAGTAACTAGTGGGTAATAAAGTCGGGCTTGCCATTACAAATGTACCTATACCTAAATATAGAATTGTAATATAGTAAACTTATTACCATACAGTACAGCATTGCATGTTCTGCACTTCTAGGGATTACAGGCACGATTATTCATACTTCAAAAGCATGACGTATGTACCAGGATCTCATTGAACTCGAGAGTTCTACGAATCAATAATTGCAAACATACATATTATTATGCAATACAATATTCCTGCCAGGAATATTGTCCTATCGACACACATTTACTTGATTTTCTCGCGACTTTGTACGCAAATGAAAAATCACTAAGCCATTGTGGTATCTACCTATACATTTATCTTATTTTGCCGGTAGGTATTTTTTTTTTTTTTATTTTACTTTATTGGGACATAAAACAGTTACACATTACAATAAAATAAAGTATGACACAATATATTTAAAACTAAGTAAACGTGTAACCCACACCAATGTCCGCGAAATAATAGCCTAAAAAATTATTAAACGCGTGCGTTAATCATACAGGAAATTTAGTAGGGTATTTAACATAAACAGACGGATTACCTGATGGTAGCCAACATGAATTACGAAAGCGTTGCTGGTCTTTTGGGGATTAGGATTACGGAGATTATACTTACACATATTTAATTACACACACTTATGTACCTAATCATTTCTTTTGACCTTCACAAGAAATCGCAACGCAATGGGAAAGTCATCAAGTATCTTCTCCCGCCCTAGGTGGTGGAGTGGAATTGTCAAAGTGTCAGTCTCTTACTGACTAAAAACCACCGTGCCTTCTCTAGGCCGGGGTCTCGGCACCTTATTGCGAAACGCAACTTCGGAGTTATTAAAGTCCTGTAGTTTGCATTTTATGTTTTCTGTCTGTCTCTTAATTTTATTAAATTATTACAGAGTGATTAATTAATACATCAGTATAAGAGCTCTCAATTTCAAGCTAGTCTCTCCTAGTGCTGCCCTCTATTAATCAAATAAGGATAGCCAATCGTCGGCACGAATGGGTCGGCTCGACCGGAGTGATACCATGGCCTCACGGAAACAACCTCAGCGTTGTGATTCGCCGCGTGACTGAATTTACCGGAGGTCCAATCCCTACCCCTCCCCTATCCCTTCCCAATCCTTAAATATCCGCAAACCTTATTCCCAAAAGGCCGGCAATGCACTCGTGACTCCTTCGGTGTTGCAGGTCTCCATGGGCGGCGGTGATTGTCATCCATCAGGTAATCCATCTCCTCGTTTCGCGACTTATCCCATAAGAAAACCTACCAACTACCTTTCTACAATTAATAATTTCGACAGTACTTACATCATCATCTATCTTAGACACCAAAGGAGTGGATTTGCAAACAAAATCTCAACAAAAGACGTCTGTACTTTAAACCAAAGAGTACTAGAACCAAAACAATAACAATACGAAATTAACCAGACGTCCAACATTAATAAACTTGAAGTTTATTATTGTTATCATTCAGAGAATCATCTTTTATTAAGACAGTGTTTAAATTAGCTGTGGATCAATGGTTTGTGTTAGGAGCGACCTAAATATATTGTTACAGTTTAAAACATAAAGGTTTAATATGCACCTGCTGTTATTGTTTATGTTTTATATTTTAGGATGGGTTATGATCTCTTTGGTATAGTGGCTTGGGTTGATGATTGCGGATTGTGTGGTCTTGGGTGTAGATGAAATAGTTTTTAAGATTCTGACGCTCCGCACCATGGCCTCGATTAAGGCCGGGCGCGAGAGGTCGCTGCCGCCGATCACTTCCCTGAGGACATGGTAGTGCTCAGCCCAAGCACGGCACGCCGCCACTGTATGATCCACCGTTTCCTCCCGCCGGATCCGAAACAGGAACCTACCGAAGCTTAATTTTTAGTGTGGGAAAGCCATTATAAGGCTCGACTGAAGTGATACCACGGCCTCAAAGAATAGAAATGTAAATCACCGCTTGGGTTGTGTTCTCCGTGTAAGAAAGGTTACTCAAACGAAGATACACAATCTTAGGGCAATTCTAAGGTTTCGTTCCTCTCTATTAATGTTGACTGTTGAATTCTAAGCTTTCGAAGATGAGGCGAGGTTACATAATAGTCCCATCATTTAAGTGTGGAACAGCCATGGCACGGCAAAGCGTTTGGCACGAATGGGTCCTGCTCGAGAGTAGTGACACCACGGCTTTACGGAAAACCGGCGTGAAACAAATATAACGTTTTGTTACGCCGTATGTGTGAGGTTACCGACTTACCATAGGCCCAATGCTTACCCTCCCTTCATTTCTCCCAAGTCCCTAAATCTCCGCAACCTTAATCCTCAAAAGTGTCCATGGTCCATGGGTGCCATTGATTACTTACCATCAGGTAAGCCGTAAGCTAGTTTGCAGCCCTATCAGAAAAACTCTCTAGTTTAATACAAAGCCCTCTTCTCATGTTCATTGCTCAAAGGTTTCATTTTTCCAAATTCAATTAAAAGAAATACAAAGTTTTCCTAACTTCAAAAATCAAATTAGGTAGGTACATCCCTGATAACCTAGTTAGCGATTTGTGAATAAACGAGCACATTATTAATAGTAAATGAATCAGAAATCTCAATGTCAAGATGTATATCAGTAAGCTCCGGCCAAACGAATTTCTATGCCAAAATTTTTGACTCATACTAGTAAATACAAGTGGGAATGTTTCACGCACCCGACTGTTTGTGTACGCCGCGTAATTACACTATCGTAGTCGATTTTTTTTTAAATTTCGTTTACAAACAATAAAGGTATAAACCAATGTACATAAAAGTACATCTGTAGGTGAACAGGTAAAATACCAGGTTTGTGCTCTAGGGGTGACAGAAAAATAAATTCTTTTTGAAAATTATGATGACGGTTAATCAGATGTTTTGAAGTGTGGGAGAGCCATGCTTCGGTTCGAATGGGTCGGCTCGACCGGAGTAATACCACGGCCTCACAGAAAACCGGCGTGAAACAACCACAGCGTTGTGTTTCGCCGTGTGAGTGGGGATACCGGAGGCACAATCCTTCACCTCAACCAATCCCTTAATCTCCAAATCTCTAATCCCCAAAAGGTCGGCAACGCACTTGTAACTCCTCCGTTGCGGGTGTCCATGGGCGGCGCTGATTGCTTACCATCAGGTAATCCGTCTGCTCGTTTGCCGATCAAGATGTTCTCTGATCAAACCATTTGTTAGTGATGCGATGTGCCTAGGTTTCTTAATTTTATGGATTTACTACTACTTATCCCCTTTAATGTGAAAGGATCTTTCGCAGGATGTTCTGATAAAAATGTATTCTCAAATTTTTAGCCTTCTTCTTTCACCTACCTAACGATTGTCGTAGATTTTCGTATAAACAACGGGATTAAAGAAATATTTTTTTGAAATTTATATGTTATCCTCACCTTATTCCAATCCATCGATCCTCAAGACCCTAACGTCTCACCCCTAAAAGGCCGGTAACTCATTTGCAATTAGTCTATTGTAGTATTGTTTATGGGCGACGCTGATTGCCTACCATCAGGTAATCCATCAGCTCGCAAAACACCTTATCACACCCAACAAATTGTTCCAGGATCAGTCCAGCTAGATCCAGGCGGATCGCGGTCAGGATCTGGCGCTGGGTCCGCAGGCTCTGGATATGAAACCGACCTCCGCCACTCAGGGTCTGAAGGCAGCTGGGAACAGAAACAGCAGCATAAATATGCTATTCTAACTAGAAAGGTTGGTGAAGTTCTTTTTAAAAATATTGGAAAGAGATTGACCTCTGAGCGTGTTTCTGTATTTCTTCTCAGAGCAGTCAGATAGAAAATGCCTTATTTAGATTTTTGTGTTGGAAACATTTTCATTGTTACAATGACTGATATTCAGTTGGTTTCGAAAAAGCTACGCTTAGGACTTAGGTATACTGGAATAAGGTGTTTCAACAAAATTATAGTAGGTAACTAAAGATCTACCTAAGCATGAAAAATCTATATAAAAATTTTATGAAAATACTAAAAAACTAGATTTGCTACAAACATTTATCGAATCTTTGAGTAATCTACCCTTTTTATAACGTAGTTACCCACAATCTACATAAATAGAAAGCAAGTAATCAGCTGCCAGAAGCGATATAATTTAAAAATTTCTGCTGTTACATTATCTTTCTGTCTCCATCCTTGTACTTCTGCTTTGAAGACAATACGGCCATCTTCAAACCTCTTTAAAAATTCCAGGTATCAGGCAAAAGCGTCCAGTTCCTTCTATGTCCAACCTGTGGATACGAGACACAGTTACCTCTCGGAGGCATAGCAGCGTTACCTCTCAACTATGTTCTGCTTCGAAAGATGGCGGTTGTCCAGGACAGCGAGGGCATCAACGTGCTGTGTGATCTCTGTAGCAGTGACAATAAGGTGGGTTTTGCTGTGAATGATGATGATTGTTCGGAGAATTGCTAATTTTCTTAGCGAAGGCAGAACATTGAACATTGTGCCTTTTTAAGTTTTGCTCTATTTTCATAGTTTATTGTGAGGTAATTATAACAGGGTTAACGAGCTTTAAGATTATAATTAGATGGCGTTTTGACGTCATTAGGTTTATGTAGTTACTAGCGACACGCTTCGACTTCGCACGGGTGCAATGCTGATACCTAATCTCTCTTCTATTAAATGTCTGTTAATATATAAACCTTCCTCTTCAATCACTTTATCTGTTAAGAAAACCACATACAATATAATAGTCCGGGAAATATTAGTTAGTTCGACTTACTTTCTAAGTATAATTATTGAGACACCACTTACATTCGGTGAAGGAAAACATCGTGCTCAAATCTTCTTCGTGGGAGAAGAGGCCATTGCTTAGCAGTGGGCACTTACCAATGGGCTAATGATGCTACTTATACAGTCTATAACACTGTAGTACTTGTCTCTTGTTTTTAACGCATGATATTTAATGTTCTTTGTTCCTTTTCTTCTTACTTGCTTTCTAAATAAGTTGTGGACTATAAATATAGTGGAAATCAACCGTAAACCAATGCCCATTCTCATAGGTAAAAGACAATTCTTTGTTTCAAACGTCCAACAAAAAAGTATTTTAAGATATTGGATCGCACGTGAAGGATTTCAACCGTGAGCCGCACGCATCAAATGCGTGGGTTTCAACAAATTACCATTCGTTCCGTTCCCGTACATTTCACTTAGAGAATGTTAGTGGATATTGTATTTGAACTTTATTTGGTACTAGCGATCCGCCCCGGCTTCGCACGTTCGCACTATTTCATGGATGTTAATATTACTTAAATCTTTAATCGGTGCGTTACTACCTTTTGGGGATTAGGGGTTTGAGAATTGAGAAATTTGGGATAATGGGGATGAAGGGGGCGTTTTGGCTTCCAGCCTTTACCGGTTAAATCCGGTCCCTTACACGGTTTTCTGCAAGGTCGATAATATTGCTGTCATTTAATATGGTGTCATAATTTTGTTTATATCTGAAATTCTGCTGTACCTTCACCATTTTTCTTCTAGGCAGAAACCCGTTGCAATCAATGTCTGGTCAGCATCTGCACGTCATGCGGAGAAGCTCATGGGAGACAGAAGGCCACAGCCCGTCACTCCCTGCAGCCACTCGACCCAGCTCCCGTGAAGTACTGCACTCAACACCCGAAGGCTGATCTCAGTGTTTACTGTGCTACATGCCAACAGGTATGTTGGTAATTTTTGTATAGCTGTAGATCATATATTGTGGTTTGATAGAAAAGTTATTAATAGTTATTAACTTTGTACGTCATCGAACAGAAAAGGATGTTGTTAATGCATTCAAATGATAGATACCTGATTGATAGTAGATATAGTCTAAAATATTCGTACATTTTATTTGGCAAAACTCACTGAAGTATAATCGGCAGTAAGGCTCACTATTAAACTTAATAAAAATTGCCAGTGTAAAGACAAAAGGCTTACTTCCTGCAGGTATTATTCCAATGTTCTTTTCTTAAGGTACATGTTTAATGTAATAGTGTGGGAGAGCCATGCTTCGGCACGAATTAGTCGACCGGAGAAATACCACGGCCTCACAGAAAACCGGCGTGAAGCACGTTGTGCGTGTGAGTGAGGTTACCGGATGCCCAATCCTTCAAGTCCCTCAATCCCAAAATCTCCAAACTCCTAATCCCCAAAAGCAGAACGCACTGTTAACTCCTCCATTGTTGCGGATGGCCATTGGCGCTGGTTACTTTCCATCACATAATGTGTCTACTGCTTTGCCGTTCTATCACATAAAAAAGACGTATTCCAATAATTAGTAAGAGTATCTCTAAATATCTCTTTCTCCTTCCTTTCAGGTGGTATGCCGAGACTGCTGCCTGGTCTCCCACAGCGGGCACGCACTAGCTAACGCGTCCCGTGCTGCGGCTGAACGAGCTCGTCTTCTACGCGACGCAGTGGATCGTGCTAAGCTTGTGCCGGAGAATGTGGAGCGAGCCACCAGGAACCTTAGCGCGCACGCTTATGAGATTGATGTGAGTATAATTGATGATGCACATAATGTAAATGCTCTAAAAATCTTTCTAGTTATAGTTGAGTTTTGATGTGCTGTTGTCAGCTGAATAACCACAAAAACAATGCAGGTGTCTTTTTTCATATAATTAATAGACCATTACAGACGGGGACCTACTTAGGCTGATGTTCAGCCGGGGTTGCTGCACAAGCGCAATAAGACATTGGCCTAGAGCAAGAGAAAGAACTGTAGGTGTTTTAGTCAGTGTGAGTTGTCATTGTGGATCAAATGAAAATAAAACGATTCTTTCAAAGAATACAAGTAACCAAGGATTTGGAATGAATGAGATTGGTAAGAGGGGCGTGGATTGGGCCTTTGGTAACTCCACTCACACGGCGAAACACAACGATGGTAGTCTCACGCTGGTTTTCTGTGAGGCCGTGTAGTAGTATCAGTCCGGTCGAGCCATCCATAAAAGTGTCATTGTTTCACTATTGGAGATTGGACTATTGGATTTTATAATGGAGACACAGGCTTCGTCACAAACTGTAGCTTGTCTCTCCCATTTCTACCAGGGTTTTAACTGATCTTGCCAATGTTTGTATGGCCAGTGCCAGGCAGCCCGCGTGGAGTCGGAGGTGCAGGAGTGGGCGGCGCAGTACCGGCGCGCGGTGGCGGCACACACGCGCGCACTCTGCGCCGCCGCCGCGCGCGCCCGCCACCGCCAACAACACACGCTCGACGGGAAGACCAGGGCGCTCGGGGATAGGGCCGGCCACGCTGTTGATGCCGTCCGATTCGCTGAAGAGGTCAGTGCTACAAGATTCCACGATAATGTCGTATAGGTACTTCTGAGATTTGTCTAGCAGCGCGTGAACTAATCTTGCGTAACATTGTAATAAGCCAATTTATTGTAGCCATTATTTACTTCATTATCCTTAAGGATCACATAGACTTTTAAAGAAAAAAAGACCCCCTTTACTCAACTAATACCTACTGCTAAAACAGTTCGTTGAAATTTCAACTCTTTTGAAATTTGGATGGAATTCTGAACTCAAGATTTTTTCAGCTTTTCGGGCCAAAGACATAGCCCAAGTTGCTTTTGTAACCACCGACAGACTTTGGAATCTTACTTTTGATTACAAATCCTGAAATATTGTCAGTTGCAGTTCCCACTATCTAGACGCTACCGAAGCAAACACCAACAAAATTGCCCTTTTCAACCTTAGATCCTCAATTCTCCGAACAGAATAAAACCCATCTCTATCGTCTCCACAGCTCCTATCGGAAGGGAAAGAAGACGAGCTCCTATCGCTCAGTGGACCAGTATTACGTCGCTTGGAGCGAGTGACGGAGTTGCAGCCTCTATCGGAGCCCCCTCGCCTGGAGTTGCGCTTCGCTCCCCGCGCCCCCGCCACACACGACCCGACTATCTTCGGAAGACTACTGGCACATTCACCAGATCCTGACATGTGTGTTGTTAATACTGAAGGTGAGTATTTAATCCTATAGGAATTATTAGAAGTTGTGGATTGTGTTGCGGGTAAACATAAACGGATGTTCTGACTGATTAATGTTTAAATCTGGTGGTCCGTTGCTTGGTTGCGTATAGGTACCCAAAACACAGAAATATTGTTATTTTGGTTTTCTTCTCTTGAGTATACCCGAAATGTACGTACAGGAATAGATTTTGATGATGTTTTTAAGTCTTGAAAAATTGACATGGTTTTTTATGCTAAAGGTCTTCAAGACATGCGAGTTGACTGTGAACATGAGGTGACGCTGGAGCTACGAGACAGTAATGGTGAAAGAATCTGGTGTGGTGGTGAACAGGTAAGTTTACCTGATAGAGAAGACGAGTTCAGAGATACCTTTACACATGAAGGCGTTTATATAAAAATTTTTGCCCAGACTTACAAATAACAAAACAGCAAAGCGAGATTTTGTAGCAGAATTGGTTGAGTCCTCAGTTGTCAACGCTGACAAAATACATGTCATGATGATAATAAAGTTGCAGAAATGATGGATAATGCTCTTGGAAAGGCCAGAAAATTTTTGGAAGACTTGCATCTTTACCTTATATCCTTACAAGTTACTAGATTCCATCCACGTCTTCGCACGCAACTAAAAATAATGTATCCAGGGCTTTTAACAGCTTTAACAACAGCGTTCAAAGCGATAGCTTGACCAAATATTATAAATATAACAAATTTGGGAATACCACCAGTGGAACCAAAGATTCCCCTACATACAAAATTACATATTTTACCTCTTTATAATATTAGTATTGATGTATTTTGTAATTTCTAGGTGGCTGGATACTTCCGTCGCCGGGACTCTAGCGCTCGCCCTAGCATGGCTCGCGTGACAGACAGTACGGACGGAAGCTACACGCTCAGTATCACGCCTCGCTCGCCCGGAGCTTATTTACTCGCTGTCACCATTAATAATAAGCCTATAAAGGTTAGTTTTTCCTGAATTCTCTTGAAAAAATTGAAGAATTGATTAGATATAATATTCTGTAAGTGTGCTTGTGTTGCCATTCGTGTATCTATTTTTGAGCTTACAGGTTATGAAAATAAAAAATGCTAGGAAGCTTGTAGGCAAGAATACGATACTCTATTTAGAATGTTTCTTTAGGAATACCCCTTTTGTTTTCGGTAATCTTGCTCGTTCCGGTTTTTTGAAGGTCTTTTTTGTTGAGAAGAAAATCATCAAACGTCTTCTCTCGCCCAGGTTGAGAAGAGAGGGAGTGTCAGACTCCTACTGACTAAACTCCGTACCGTTCCTTCTGCTTTAGGCCGAGGGCGCGGTACCTTATTGCCACAGCCCCGCAACCCCGGCTGAAAGGCTGTCCAAATGTTCATCTTCTCCTACCGATCTCTAAATCTCCAAATCCGTAATCTCCCAAAGGTCGGCTACGCACTAGTATCAAACTCCTCTGTTGTTGCGGGTGTTCATGGGTGGGCGCTGATTACTTACCATCAGGTAATCCGTCTGCTCGTTTGCCGTCCTTTCACATAAAAAACTTGTTATTGTGCAGGGCAGTCCATTCGCGTGCTGTGCCCGTGCGGGCGCGGCGCACTGGGGCACGTTCCACTGCTGCGCGTTCTGCTCGTCGGGGGGGCGACGCGACGCTGTCTGCGGCTGCGGGGCGCGGATGCCCGGGGGATACAAAGGTAAACAACATTCTGTCCTTAGGGTTTCTTGTTTGAAACTGTCATTTTGGGTTTATCACCCCATTAAGATTAAGTGAACCGTCTGCTCAGTGGCCTCCTGCCCAGTTAAAAAATGACCTAACAGCTTTTTAACATTAAGTCGTGGTCTGTTATTCCTTGTGCTCCAACTAGCTCTAGTAAGCACAAACTTTAACGATTGCATCATCCGTCCATTTTGTCCGTGCGTCACTGCAGGGGAACCAACTGAAAATCAATGTTGGGTGCTCATTCAGCTTCTGCTGAGTTCGCGACCCATTCGGATTGGGCATGTTCGCCAATACTGCGTAGGATGTTATATCTTGTAGCGACATCTATCGCACAACAATAACAGCACCAATCACGTGCAAGATTCTACATCGCGCTATAAGAGTTCTCATCACAATTAGCACCTATACAAAAAGTCGGGCAGTTAACCCACCAGACAAAACATCCGTCTGGTTGGAGGATCCTCCCTTTTGAATGGAGGATGAGGAACTTTCCACGCTGTTCTCTCATACCTCTAAAATCTATTATTATGAGCCTGTTTAAGCTAATTATAATTTGGCTTATTTCCTTTTTATCTCTCTCCGTTTTTAGTTCATGTCTTTTGGCGAATAAACCATTTAATTCATTTATTCATCATTTTAAACCAATCAAAAACTTATGAGACCTAACGCGACACTAGCGCCTCTCGTATCAAAATTAAGCGTTAGTTTTTTTTAATAATATTCAGTATCGAGCAATGCTATGCTATTTATTATGCAGTCATGAATAATAATAATTGTTGTCTGTATGTCAGGGTGTGGGCACGGTCACGCAGGATGGCCGGGCACGCGACACTGGTCGTGCTGCGGCGCGGCGCGACGAGACGCGGCATGCACGCGGCCCCGCCCGCCTCGACCTACTACGCAACTATACCAGTTCTCCTTGTAATATCATATTAATAAATGTTATCTTCAAATGTATGGCGTTTGTTTTATTTTAGTGTTTTAATTAAAAAAACAACAATTTGATTACAGAACAAATGATGATGAAACAATTTGATGGCACCACTTGTGTGTATACATATCCACGGCACATAACAAAATAGAATTGTTAAAAAAGTATTATCGTACTAAATACTTCATAATGATAACATTAAGGTAAATAATAATCGATTTTCAACTTTATCACAAAAGCTTTAAGTTGTGATTCCGATTTAACAACCAATTTCCATCGCAGTCATTACAAAAATGTCAAGTCAAATTTTCAACACGAAAACAAGTTTATCAAAAGACACGCAAATGACAAAAAAAGAACAACATTATACATTTTCTTCTGGAAAATGTCAAAAAGAGGTTCCGTTAAACAGGTTTCATTGTAAATAACACACCACAAATAAAGTTAAATTACATTTATTTTATAAAATACAAACAAGTAAATTATTGCTTATCTCAATACACATTTACAACAAGACATCGATCAAAACTCCATAAAAAGGGACCTTCATGGAAAAATATAAAAAATATCATCTTTTTTCCATATTACGTACGGGACAATATTATCAATAATAGAGGCTGATTTAACAAAGTTCTATGCTAATTGTTTTTTGTACTCTTACTATAAGAGTAACACCCGGTTTCCGAAAGGCCGATCAATTTTTAAATCAATTTAATCTTTTGTCAAGTCATCTGATTGGTTGACTGAATTATCAACAACCAATCAGATGACTTGACGAGAGATTTAACAGATTAGTTAATTTTAGCGTTGACAAGCCTTTCAGAAACCGGGTGTAAGCCGAGGTGATCAATTTAATAAAGCTGTTAATTGCTATTTACGACCACTTCCTGTCAACGGCTTCGTAGCAGTCCTAAGGTAAAAATATCCTATAGTCTATTGGTTTAGGTAATTTAATGTTTATTAAATAATTTAAGTTTAGGTAACTAAATGTAAATAAACAATGTTGGCGTTGTTATTTCAAAGTTGTCTAAAATGGTATGTAAGGGTTTACAATCAAGTATATAACCTAAATCAATGTTAGCTAATAAACTAAATTTAAATAATCTTTGTATGTATTTTATACGAGCTCTTTAAAATAAAATAAAAAAAACATACGAAGATATATTTATGAAACAATGAATGTATTTTTGCAAATAGGCCATAAAACGGCACTTTTACACAACCAATTTTTTTATTTAATTAATCACCTAAACTTATCATAAGTGATATTGCATCGAAAAAATTCAATTTGTAAATCCAAACTATAATCTATTTCTGCAGTCACATAATTGACTATATAAACAAAAAGTGAAATCTCTAGTCATTTTTGAAAGGTTGATAGTAAAGTGCCATCTCGAAGCACATGATTAAAATTGATTTTTATAAAATTATATCACGAATTCATATATTCACAGTAGATATTCAAAAATATCGCTTATTTTTAACATAAGAAAGTCTATTAATCTAGTATTTTAATTGGCCGTCCACATGCATGGGTTATTACATAAAATATCTGCGAAAAATTAACCTTATCTGAGTGCCTAGGTGAAAGGCTTATATTTCTTTTAATAGCATTTTTTTGTATTAATTTGATATCCAAGTAAGATTTGGTTGAAGGCACCGCGACCTCTGCCCAGAGCAGGAGGAGGAACGGGGGATTTTTAGTCGGTGACCCTCCCTACCGCCCCATCCAGGGCGGGAGAAATAATTTGATAACTTCCCCTCACAAAAAAGTAAGATTTGATTAAGATAACTTTGATTTGTTTTAATACCATAATTAGGCAAAGCATACACTATTGACGTTTTGTACGTCATACAACTTTAAACTCTATCGTAATGAACTTAAAGTCGTCAATTCAATATTCCAACGACTTCTATACAAATAAAAAGAATAATAAGAAAAACATTACATTCAAACTAAAACTAATCATACTACAAACGGAATAAAGACGCGATTACAATAAAAAGGGTACTATTAGAAGGTTTTGCAAGTAATTTTTACTTTTTAACTACTGTGAATACACACAAGTATCGATATTTCTTCAAATTATCACAGATTATATATCACGTATGCAAAATATATAATTATATGTCATTTTAATTCGAAGATCCCTCTACGCTACAACTAGTTATACCTTAAAACTAATAATTATTTATTATTTAATAAACTCACGTGAATTTACTGAGAAAAAAATTACTAGTTACAAAATCAAACGCGGAATCCGAAAGAGAGCGTGACTTGTCGGCTCCGCGACGTGCACGTTGCTCATGATAAGAGTCCCGCTAAGACTTGAAATTAGTAGAGCTTTTATCACTTAATTCACGTGAATAAGTTGTTATTTTAAATAAATTTCGCATGTCTCACGATATCATAGTTACTATTCAAACATGTTTGTTTGAACAAAATTGGACCTTATGCCGCTTTTAATAAACTTGAAAAACCCATAGTAATATGAATTGCCTTCGTATCGCGGTTTGTGTCATGCAAACTAAACCGTATCGTAAAGATATAAGATACATTTTTCTAAAGACGATAAGAACAGAGGTACAATTCTGAACAAACATCATTTTTTGGTTTACCTTAACAAAAAAATAATATGAAAACCATTTTTAAATACACAATTTGTAATAATAATCTGAAAATTACTGAAAGAACTAAAACAATAACACGAACATTAAAAAAATATATTATATTAATATTTCGAACCACAAATTCAAATCAGCATTTAAATTACAACCTTATTCAAATAACAGAACGTCGAAAATCCATCAGCATGCCCGAACTCACCTTATTTCAAAACGAATGAGAATCCATAATCTACACTACGTTTAACTTACAACCTTACACTCAACGAAGTTAAGGTTCAAAATTGATAAAACACTCCACAATACAGCTATTTAGGAACATGCATCAACAATTATTATTAAATATTTAGACTAATTGATATACATTTTAATTTTATTGCAGTATTTTACAAAACTTGATAGACCCTTTGTAAATCTGTATATTTCCCTTATTTTTATTTGCTAGTAAATATTCTAACAGAAGGACCATGAATGAAATGATATTCCATTGTTCTTAAGTGATAAGTCGGCAAACGATCAGACGTATTACCTGATGGTAATCAATCAGACCCGCCCGCCGGGTTACGGGGTCGGCAACGCACTGTTGCCGACCTTTTGGTGATTAGGGTTTTGGGGATTCGAGGATAGGGAAGAGGGATTTAGGGATTGGGGGAAGGGACGAATTGGGATTCCATTGTTTAAAAATGTAAATTTACATATTTTTTTATTGTATGGGTTCCTGCCAGGTAATTTAGAAATAGTAGTATTTAGTATATGTTTACACCCCAAGTAGAGTTTAAAAAATCTGTCAGAAAGTACGGCACATCTAACACGGTTTCAAGATTTTTTGAAAATTACTTTGTCTATATTACACAGTATTTACCTATTAACGAATAAATAATTAATTCGTTGTTTAGATCTGTGTAGTTTTGTTTTGTGGAACTATTTACAAGATCGTATCAACACGTTACTTGTTCACAAGCCCAGGGCAGGTACGGGGGCGTAGGCCACGGGCGTGGGGGCGCAGGCCTGTCTCACACTCATCTCCCACGCGTCCAGTAGCTGCCCCACCGAACAGCTCTTTGGTAACCTGAGGATGAAAGGTAAAGAATAAGTTGCGCAAATTTAATATGGGAGTTTGCGCAAATCAGCGCAAATAGGTTCAAGTTTTGCGCAAACTGTATTTGGTGTTTTGTCTAACTAAATTTAACTAAAAATCGCGGGTTACTCACGTGTATATACAGGGTGTAAGGGACAGCCCTCCACAAATTAACAGGGTGCATTCAGCTCCTTATTCTGAATCATATTCCAGTGAAAATTCTTTCAGGAAAATTATCAATTATTTTTTCGTTTTTTCAGTTCCTACACCTCTATTTCAATGTATAATTACATTCTATGTATGAAGAATAACATTAATGTAAATAACACAGCTAAAACAAAAAAATACGCAATGGTTGTGTGAATTCTCTAAAGAACTACGCATGAAATCAGCTGTTCAATTTCTACCTAGCGCGAGTCGTTTGAACTCACCGCACCGCGGTCACGGCGCAGCAGCTCGGCGCCCCACCGCGCCGATCGCCGCGCCGCGCGCCGTAGGTATAATACCTACGATCCCGTCCAACGTACAGAATAGCTGCGTCCCTTTCTATCGCCCCGCCTCCGCGTCTCCCCGTCTCCCCGATTCTTTGCACAATGTTTGCCCGATTGAACCAGTGTTGCCAATTTTTAACTTTTGTTACCTCAGGTAGTAAACGAAAATGTTAGAACTAGCGAAATTTATCTAAAACTTGAGAACTCCTTTGCATTCATAATTACGTTGATGAGATTTTCATTAATCAATTAATGAAAATCTTGTCGCGCACATAAATTGAATAAGAAATAAATAAAGATTAGTCTAGTTTTAATTTTAAAGCATTTACAAATACTACCTAATTTATTAATTGATTGTTCTTTTTAAGCGATTACTGGCTAGTTTTTAAACTACTTACAGATTTTTACATGGCTTCACAATAGCCATGAATTGATAGTCGAGCCAGAAATTAAACACAATCTCCCTGGAATGGAAGCACAGCTTTCTATCACACTGCACTTTTATTATTCTAAATTAACTAAACAATGAAATTAGAATTAAATTGATTTAATCAATTCATTTCATACAAAAAAATAACAGAATGATAAATTATGACCATGCATAATTTTTTATTTTTTACCCCGAAATTTTGTAATTTTCGTGTAATTGGCAACAACAGATTTATGTTTGTGTGTGTCTCATCACATGCAGTCGCCATTGTGCCTTGCTGCGATGTTATTGTTTGTGTACCGCGAGCGTGTGTCGGCACGGATCGCTCGCGCATTCGGCTTAAAAGTTATGTTATAAGTAGTGTTGTTAAGTTTTATTAGTTATGTAGTGTGTGAAGTGTAGTGAAGTTTTGTTGTAGAAATTGTGCGAAATTACTACCCAGGTACGTTTAGCGCGCGTGATTATGGGGAGATGATAATGTGTTGTAGTAGTGTAGGTATCCTGACCGTCGCCATCCATCAGACTCCAGGATAATTACTGGTGACTATCAACGCTTGCTAGAAAACCAGCCCATTGTTCCCAGACAAAAAGGCGCCGGAAGACCAATACCTACGTGGATTTTGGAATTGGTTCGCTAACGTAAGGAGACGCTACCACTTACCAGTGCTTTCCTATTTAGACGTAGTTTAGGTAGGTTTGGACCGCAACCGTGGCCAGCACGATCCCCAGACCTAACCCATTTGGACCCCTTTTTGTGGGGTTACGTAAAAGAAAAAGTGTTTGTGAGTGCGTGTGCAAGTGAGTACGAAATGCGAGACCGCATCACAAATGCTTTCCAGAGCCGGAAACCGGAGCGATTCTAAGGTACCTACGCATTTTTCTTTTTTTATCATTTATCAGTTACCATGTTATGATTGTTAGATTTTTTTTTTGAAAGTAATGCAGCTATCTTTTAAATAATAATTTATTGTTATTAAAACGTGGCGCGAGCGCGATTATTACATTGTCTTTTGTAAGTAATGCGGCTATCTTTTAAATAATAATTTATTGTTATTAAAACGTGGCGCGAGCGCGATTATTACATTGTCTTTTGTAAGTAATGCGGCTATCTTTTAAATAATAATTTATTGTTATTAAAACGTGGCGCGAGCGCGACCGTTTGTCTGAACGTAAGGTCGCGGCGCTGCCCATAGTGTAAAGTAATAATACTAAAAGCGCTGCCGTTCGCTGCGTGCGTTTGCGGTGGTAGCGATACATTGCGTGTAAGGTAATGAAACAAATCGGTTTAATTGGATTCCCATAACGTTCCTGAAATAATTTCATGTACCGGTCAACTTAAGACGATATACTGAATCCACCCTATCAGTTTGCGGAAGGCTGTCCCTTACACCCTGTATTGAGAAAAGCTCTACTAGTTGGTGTTTTGTCGTTAATATTACAGCCATTAACAGCCTCGACCACTCTGCCAAGAGTGTTACGATTAAGAAAATTTAATATTTTTTACTTTTGTTGTCCATTTCCATTTTAATATTTGTAAAAAGATTTTAAACAATACATACGGTACTTGACAACTAATCAAATTCAACATTTTTAATTGAAATGTGGAAAACGAAACTGTTCTATGAATTTGATATGGAAAACAGAAATGTGACGTCACCATATTTTTGAGTCAAACAGTATAAATATGCTTTTCTTTAAAGGTAACCAGTGAAAAATTAAAATTAGGTATATCGTCAAATCCATTTACGAAGTATACAATTATTTTTGGATATTTATTTTTATTGTAATCTTGAAGGATTTTATTTCTGGCTGAGCAAAATACTCTATTCTCGTATACATTTTATTCTATTTTCATTTAATTTATGGTTAAAAGTGTATTTTGAATCAGTAAGACATTGGCACTGCTGTCTCACTTAGGAATCATTTGTTGATTTTCCACCCATAGAAAATTTCTATGACAAAAAGACATACCTGGCACATCGAGCATCCATAGCCTTTTCTAGCCGAGCTAGGAAGGAGTCGGGCGCGTAGTTGTGGTGCGAGCGTGGCTTGAGTCGGACGGGGGGTCGCGCGGGGTAGTCGCGCGGCACGGCCACGTGCACGCCGGCCACGCACGGCAGGCGCGGCTCGTCCAGCGCCGCCACCAGGGTTATAGCGCCGCCGCCCGCGCCGCCCGACCCCCCGCACCACGACATCGGCTCCAGGGACACCTTGGGGCACGTAACGTATGATGTAGGTAGTAAGTGAACAAATGTTTTGTCTCATATATTTTTTTATAATAAAAAGTTGCTCCATATGAAAATTGGGTAGTTTTCTAGGTCAAAAATAAATTATTTCGATGTTTCAATACAATAAAATATTGAAAAATTACTATACTTTTACTCATAGATCGATCGATACACTCAATTTTAAATATTTTTTATCAAATTTTTAAGAAATAAGTAAACTGATTGACGTAAAAAACTATGACGTCGTAACTTAGTTTTTCATACAAACTTTATAGTAAAGTATCGTTTTTGACATTTGGATAAAAGTATTGAATTTGACTAGTCGGAAACTACAGTATTTCTCGTGTCGTGAATGCGTGTACAAACATACTAATTCACAATCACAAGCTACTCAGAGCCGAAACAACAATTTGTGGATCATACAAAGTGTTATTCCATGCGGGAATCGCCCACGACACGTCACACAACAGCCACTGCACCAACCATGCAGTCTCGATCATGAATTATTCTTTATAATTAAGGTTATGATATTTCAAAAGATACATGGTACTTAACGTAATTTAGCCTTTGAAAAGCTATGATTCATTTTCTCAGTTTTATAAAAACCGACTTTTTAAAGAATTTTTAATGACATCTTACCTTAAATCTCGAGTCCAATCTGGCTATTTCTCCCTGTAGAACATCCGGAATCTCCATTGGAGGTTCTTCTAGTTTCGGTACCTTTTGAGGGGTCGGTAAATTCCTAGAAAGAAAAAGTATAAACACATCACCTTACCATACTTTTAAACTAGACCTTATTTTCATGGAAATAGATTACAACATTTTACCTGTAAAAGATAATTATAATCTAGGTTTCATATTTTTAACTATATAAAGAGGCAATACGAAAGCAAACCAAAATATTTAACTTGATTATTTAGAATTTCTGTCAAAAACCCAAGATGAGTCTACATAATTAATGGCCTTATTACAAAGAAGGTTTTACTTTAGTCTAGGGCTAAACCATTGAGTCAGTTTTTGTATTTCGAATTGAAGGTAGATGACAATAAGGTTCAAAATTCAGAACCCGACTCAATGGTTTAAAACTGGACTAAAGATAAACCTTGTTTTGTAATAAGGGGGTAAGAGTTTTGCTTCGAACAAGGAATGGGGTGGTTTCTTGAGCCAGTAAGAGTCGAGAGAGACTGTAAGGGGGAAAGAGGGTCACTATTATGTGAAAACTATGTAAGGTTTTTATGGGAATAGGGCGAGAAACAAATAGTTAAAATATCTAATCGTAAACAATTTGAAAGTTTGAGCATTCTTACCTCATTTCTGGTCCGTTCAGCGCATCGAGAGCAGATCCGAAGGTGCGTTTGAGTGTGTGGTTAGCGAGAGGAGATTGTAGGCAGTTGTTCACCACTTCTAGCAACGGATTGAATATTTGTTCCTGTAGGACAATAATTGTAACATTAGAATGTATGATGTTTGAATTTGTATTATTTGCTTTTTAACTTTAGCTGTCGAAATAGCCCAAAGGATTAGCAAAGTACAATACCGCTAACGTATCTTGGCAAGTTTGATGTTAGCTAATTAGCTGCTCAGTACACAATTTTGTTCCGAAAAGATCCATAGCGCAGACAAACGGTTAACTTCAGACTCGCCAAGATACGGCGGCCGTACTGTAAGGTGGATGTAAGCAGGTCACATTTGGATGACCTGATGACCATTAGAGACCATGTCATGCAAATATAGTGTAGTAGGCTTCCAGTGGACTGACGGACCAGCAGTGGACGGAAACAGGCTGATGATTATTATTATTTTCTACTTGTAATAAGCAAGCAAACCATTGCATTTACAAAAGGGAAACAAATACTACATTCGAGAGGGATTATCCAACAGGGATCATCATTCATTAGATTGTCTTTTCAATGATCCTGCATATTTTAATGAATAACTTTCTTCTTCTTATCTTTCTCTAGTAATAAAAAACAGAATTTCAAGTCTATACCTTCCCAGTGCTCGGTACAACGACTCCCTCCCCCCTCTTGAAGTCCAGTTTCTCCAGCACCACCTCACACTTGATGAGGGTCTCCAACGGCATGCGCTTGTTGGGGTTGGACAGAATATCCAATAGGTTCTTCATCTTTGTTAGCTTCTCAACATCTGCAGAAGAAAAGTGTGATAGGAGCTTCGTTAGATTTAAACGAGTAAAATCAAGGCTGAAGGGACTAGAAGATGGATTTAATATTAGCTTTATTATCTACTTGAGAGGAATTTTGTGACTAGTAATTACCCTAGTGTTAATCAACCTATTTACATAGGTAGATAGCGTTATATACCGTTCTATATTAAGCTGGAGCTAATCTACAGCTCGGAACTGCTGCAAACTATAGGTGATGCATGTGTATCTATTATTAACCTTTCCAACGAGGCAATTCGAGACACAATAGCCGGGGATCGCCTTGGGATGGATTAATTTATGAAATAAAATAAAACAAAATATAATAAATTCGATGACGAAATAAATCAGTTATATGTACGATACACGGGGTCGTAGAGGTCAAATGAAAGAACATTAATCATATTTTGTGGGTTTGTTGGCACATAGAATACAGGGCGGCGTGAAAAACGCTTGCATTTAGTTGCTCTGTATAAGTGAGGTTACCAGTGGCCAAATCCTTTCAATACCCCCAATCTAATCTCTTAATCCCCGAAACCGCCAATCCCTAATAGCGAAAAAAAGCAGGTAGGAATAAACTACCTAAAATTGGGTATGTTTTGGTATTAAAATAAACAATAAAGCATATACTCACTCTCCCCTTCGCTAACCATCCGATGCACCATACGTCGTAACGGTTCGATGTACTTCGAAAGTTGTCGGACCTTCTCACGATAGGCCGCCTCTTCGCCGCCAGGGGACGCCACGCTCGCGCCCACCGGCGTATTCAGCGACGACGAGGGCGACGCAACCATACCCATACCGACGCCCCTAGGCGACCAGTATTCAGACAATAATAGACCATATTGTTATAACGGTAAGGATAATTTTGTATGTTGTGTTGTGCCAAATATATTAAGTTTCATAATGTACAAGTATTAGTAATTAGATGTTTCTGATAAAAAAAATAAACTTAGTAAATATGATTCGACTGAAATAAACGAATATGGACCATCTGTGTATGGCCTTCGAGATCATATTTAGAAATCAATAAATCTTAATTTTGCTGATAAACAAACCGTAATATATTACAGAATAGAGCTCAGAAGTAAAAAATAAACTGTTTAACTGACTAAAACGTTATTCACTAGTATTTAAAGGCTATAATTCAATAGCTACACAGTCTATAGCATACATACCTCTGTGGTTGTTGTACATGGTGTTGCAAATGTGTTGGGTTCGATGGGGACGGGCTGCCGACACTGCCGCAGGCTCCCAGCCCGCCTAGTGACGACATCGGTGACGTCATCGTTGTGCCCATCACTCCTGGAGATGTTAAAATTATATACATTTATTATTATTATATTCCTTGTATGTTGGATGTTTATCTATATATCATCATCATCTTCCTGCCCTTGTCCCATTTTATTTGGGGTCGGCGCAATATGTTTTTTTTCTTCCATTCTGTCCTGTCACCCGTCACGCTATCACTGTCTTCCATATCATTTCTCACACAATCCATCCATATTTTCTTTGGTCTCCCTCTCCCTCTCCATCCATCCACATTTATTTATGAATTTATCTGATGTTTACCTATATATAGTATATATATATAAGTATGTAGTATCTATTTATTTATATTAGTGTTGCTATATTTATTTATACATAATTTGTATGTATTATTAGTTTATGTAAGATTATATTGCTATTGAATTTGTTTAAATTCATACATTATTATATTGAGTCTTTGTTTTAGTCTATAAAAATTTTGCTGCTTGCGCTCACCGTTTTTACTCATCTCTGCATCACCCAAAGGTCAGACTGGTAGATAATGCCTACGGCATTAAGTCCGCCTATGTACAGAAATTTGTGTGCATAAAGCTTAATAAATAAATAAATAAATAAATAAATATGAATAGTATTAATAAAATTGGAGATCCTGTTTTTAATATTGACTTAACCAAGGTTTACTACATACCTATATGAATATAATTCGGTATATTCAGTAATACCTAAAGGGATTATCTTAGAAAATATTGTAAAGTTCAGACACATGGAATTATCTAATGACATAACATGTTTTATTGTTAAATAGCACTAATTAATATCAATTTGTAGATATTAAAAAGTCATTATAATATGTATTTGTAAAAGAACGCCAAACGCAAAAGAACGCGAATCTATATTCCGAAATTTTGGAATATAGATTCCAAGATTAATAATACTCCATGGATTCTTTACTGCTAAAGTACTATTCTAAATTCGAGAATGGTTAATTAACTGAATTGTAACATGAATGTCTTCCTCCATGGCCGGAATATAAGAATAAGAAAAATAATGAATCTGTTTGGTACGGCCTCCTTCTTCTTGCTCTAAGATCGCTGTACTTCGGCGGGGCAGGGTCAGCACCGAGCTATTGAAATGTAGTATGAAAAATAAACATAGAAAAGTATATAGCTGAGCTTTTTCTTACATAGTTATCATTTTAAACATGTTCACTTTTGTGTTTATCCTTTAGTTAAAAATTGAGGTAAAAATATAGATGCCTCGGTGAATCAGGCAATCAGGGTTTGTGTTTAATATTAGTCTCTCCGGATTAATGACATTTGACAACCAATATTGTACAATGATTGCTAGATAAAAGAAGAAAAAAGTATCACAACTTACCCATAGGACTTGGTCCTCCCATGCTGGGTGAAGGAGCAGAGGGAGAAGGGCTCTGACGCAGGAACTGTGTAGGAGGAGGTGCTCTAGCACCCTGGTAGCTGCCTGCCATCATGCCTCCCACTTCCTGCTTGTTGCCGACACCCACGCGACCCATGTGCAGCATATTCAAACCCACTATTTGGTTGTTTCCCATGCCACCAACTAGAAACAATGTATCAGAATGTAGAACTTATCTTTTACAAGTGTATGTTGCAAATTTGCAATAGTAATTTTTCTTGTTTTTTTTAATATGTTGCCCACGCTGTGGAATCACATATCAGCAATTTGTTAATCACACAAAGAGTTGTTCAGTGCGAGAATCGAAACCGCGACACGTTGCGCAGCAGCCAGTTGTCCAGCCACCGAATCAGCCAGCCAGTGAGCCAGCCAACTGTGCAGTCATTATCGTCACATTTATATCAGTGCACCTTTAAAACCTAAAGATCTGACTTTTCATGTCTAAGTCCAAGTCATCCAGGACAAACAGGACCCTTAGAATGTCAAAACAGAATAATAGTCTATCATTAAAAAAAAACAATAAGGTCAACTTACCCATTTGTCCCTGCATCTGTCCTTGCATGTTGTTTGGCGCCATTTGGCCCCCCATGCCAACCTGATTGCAAGGCATCTGACCCATAGTATTAGACCCACTCATTGGCACCTGCATAGAATTGGCCATTGACATATTTGGCATCATCTGCCCTTGCATACCTCCAGCAAGTTGGTTCTGTAACTGACTGCCCATTGGGTTGCCCATTCCTCCCATTCCACCAACCATGTTATTCCCCATTTGGCCCTGGTTGCTCACCATCCCCATTGGACCTCCCAACTTGTTTTGCAGCTGCATATTCATCTGAGGCCTATTCAAGGTTTGAAGGAGACTTGTAGCTGTCTGTGCTTGAGGTCCTTGGGAAACTATTGGGCCTTGTTGGCCCATTTGGCCCTGCATTCCTCCCATTCCAGGATTAGGACCCATCACACCTTGTTGCTGCATCTGTCCCTGAGGCCCCATTGTCATCATTTGATTTCGAGACCCTTGTGATGCTAAATTTTGAAGAGCATTGATTGGATCTGGTGTAAGACCACCCTGATTGTTGGGCCCCTGTTGGGGTTGGCCTTGTGGGGCCTGGACTTGTGGGTTTGGACCAGGTTGTCCTTGATTGGGGCCTTGCATTTGCTGCTGGCCTTGGTTTTGTTTGGATTGAGCTGAAAGACATATACAAATTAAATAAAGATTTTTGTTAATAAATTGTAGTTATATCTTAAAGACTGTAAAAAGTTATATATGTACTTACAGAGTTCCCTCACATGCAAAATCAGTTTAGCCACCATGTTCATATACTCCTCCCGAGTTTTGGCTTTCAAAAAGACATGGTTCTCCATCTCACTGCTGTTCCGTGCTACTTGAACACCAGAGCGCTGGATCACCTCCTCACTGTGATGGGTAAGAGTAAATTATGATAATAGGTACCAATTATTTTTCTCATCACTGACTATGACATGTCTAATTTGAACTCTATTCTGTTACTGACAAAGTTAATTTTGAAGTCAGAAAATAATTAGTTACAAGTATTGGAAAAGGAAATATAGAGGATAAAAAACAACAAAACAAAATTAGTGCATGCAATAGGAAAATGCAATGGGGTATATTCGTGGGAAATTTATTAGATGGACATTAGTCAATCATCATCAATTTATTGATAAATAGATGGTTTGTGATGTTTTTGGCTAATTATTCATTTCCTTATCAAGATTATGATCACAATAAATATGTCTATTTTAAATAGGTAACAAGTCTGTAATAATTATGTATGTTGGATGTTTTTTTTTTTTAGGTATGAATCATTTTTAAGGTTTGCATTTGCTTAGCTAGGCTAATTAAAGCCACTGGCAGTAAGCTAGTGATTAATAAGTACGCTCATTGATACGATAGAAAAGCTTTTACTGAGGATGATCACCAACCAAATATAACTGGATATATGAGCTGACGCAATTACAATTATAACGCAATTATAACTGCTAATGATACCATTAATCACTTACATTTTGGACACCACACTCTGCCTGAACGCAGAAGTTCTCCAATTATCGTCTGAAGCCATTGTGTTAAATTGTTTCAAATTTTCCTTTGAATATTAAACCACTACATGTAATTGTTATAAGTTTTGTAGTTACACATCCGAAACTCTGAATTAAACTTGAAAGTTTAAACACACTGGTTATAAAACCACGAATTATGGAGCGTCCGTCCAATAATCCCAGCCAAATCAAACTAATTTTTAGAGAACAATACGAACTCTACGAAAAGACCACGAAACGAAACCATAGCGAAGACAAACAGCTAAAGAAAGATATCAAAACCACAGATAATGACGCCTTGACGTTTATTTTCTTGAGAATTAACGTTTCGTTCGTTTTTGTGATTTAGTTTTTAAATTATATTATCTAAAGGTCGTCATTGTCATGCAGCAATAAATAATGTTTTATTTGTTGTATCAAGTTTTACTGTGATGTAATTCAAAATATATATTTTTCAAACAATTTATACAAAATAGCAGATTTTCTTAACAGCTAACAGTAGAACCAAACGGATTACGATTTTACTATTGTCATTGCTGTCAAACTTTTAGTACTGTCAATGTCACTCATAGAATGTCTTGATCTTGAACTGACTTGACTTGAATAGTTGAATCTTGGTTGACCGCTAAAGTTATTGTTATTGTTAAAATTAATTATTTTTTATAAACACGTGAGGATGGCATCGTCTACGGTGTTGAGAGTAAAACGTAGGCTCGAAGAAAATCCGCACGATACGCTTGTTCTTATGTGCAAACGGATTAAAACTGATAAGGAAGAAATCTCACCGTCTTTATTCGTCTTCCGAGGAACCGTTGACGATCAAGTATGTATATTTTATTGACAGAAAATAAATAGATGAAAGGAGCTCTTAGTAATCTTTGTTATATTTGGAACTAGCAGTTTGATCTTGTAAACAGTGAAGCTGACTAACCTCTAAAATGAGCAAGGGATTTGAAGTTCCTCTATGTTAGAGATCTTGTAAAGACTATATAAATTAAGCTAGCTATACTTATAAGACTGGTTATAGCCAGAAAACAGTTGGAGGCTGGAGAGAAAAGTAAGTAAAAATGTGACACTGCTAAGTCACAAACATTGCCTACCAGTGTCGCTTTTGGGATTTCAGCATTAGAGAAGCAACAGGCAGTATAGTTAGCCACTATGAGGTTTTCTTCTATTAATGACTGAGCTGATGGTAAATCTGTAGGCTTTTGCCTACTTGAATAAACACTATACTCAAATTCAAAATCATTTATTCGCACAGCTAATCTGTCAGTGTGTTTGTTAGTGAAGCTTATTCCAAAGTGTAGATTTGAAAAAAAAATTTCATTTGTAAGGAGAAAAATACCCTGTCATGTACTGGCTTGGCTTCATATGATTTAAACCTTTTTTAATTGTTTAATTCAAAACCTTATTTTTCTCAGGAAACCACACATGTCAAAAATTTGCTACCAAAAACAGACATAAAACAGCAGACGCTACCAAATGTCGAAAATATCATAGAAAAGTTAAGGAAAGAAAGAAAGGATGTTACAACAAAGAGTCGTTATGAAATTGTCAACTGCAGTCGAGGTTTGAAGGATGAAGCAAGTGATGGAGAGAATACAGATGTACTCAATTTAATAGATCTGCAGAAAACTGATGATAAAGATGGAAATGTTCAATATGCGTATGATCTGTACACAAGTTTAAAACAAGAGTTTGATATATCTATGATAGATAATTTTGTGAGGTAAGTCTTAACAATATTAAGGTTTATGGCCCTTTTAATTGAACTTTTGTTGCCTTTACTTGCTATTTTTTTATGGTTTGATATGAATATTTTTGAAAAAATTTGAAACAAGTATTAGGTGTCTTAAGAAAAGAATTTATTTGCACAAATTTAAATCTTAGTGGTTTTTATTTATTGTTATAATATGTGTTTGTTTAAAAGAAAAATTATATGTAACGAAAGCAAGTATCGTTTTGAATTTGCATTTCAATTTATCACCAATTTATCCTTATGCTTGTATTGTATATACTTATCCCATAACTTCTCCTTTACAGTGTTGAAACAGGCCTGGTACTAGATTCTTACGATCCAACACAAGATTCAGACAATGAAGCGGATGATGATGATGATTCTAATGATGAGAACAATTGGAGGAATGATTACCCAGACTCGGAAGCCAGCAGTATAGATGTTGAGGATATGGTGCAAGCTATGCAAAGGGTGGATATTGGTTAGTAGTACTATTTAATTTAAGCATTCTTTTCTACTAACAACTTTGCCCGCATTCTCAGAATAATCTCAGTCTAATGCAGTAAAATCTATAAAGTGTAGAAATGTGATCTATTTCTGCACTTTATAGATTTTACGTGAAAGAGTAATGTATACTATTTAAGTATACATTTCACAAACTTTGGACACACAAAAAACAATACATTTAACAAGGAATGTGCCTCTTGTAAAATAATATAAAATTTATTATGATTGTACTGACAGATGACAAAATACGACTGCACAGAACAGCTCATTGTGTAATTCTCAATTTATGTTCAGGGTGTGTGTACCATGAGTACCTATGTGAAATTGAATGTTTATAAGCACACCCACAACATGTAAAAATATTGTAGTATAAGGCAATTTTTTTGGTCTGAAAATACATAACAATTGTGTTGTTTTGATGTGTTTTTTATAATATTTAAATAAATAATTGATTGATTGATTAATACATAACTTAATCTCCTGTTAATTACAGAAGACGACTTATCCAGTGACACAGGTGAAGACAGAATATACGATGACCCACCAGACATACTCAAAGATGATGCTCAGAGATATGGGTCAGCTTATGCTAAATATAAAGCCAAAGTATTGACAGAAAACCCAGATTTGTCCAACAGAGGTCTAATACATTGCCACAAGGATGATGATGATCCAGGGTATAAGAATGATAGTGATGATGGATTCTACTACGGAGAAGATGAGGACACGGAACAGTTCAGAGAACAATACAGAGATGAGTCGTCGGATGATAATTATCCGGATTGAACCAGTTTATAATATTGTTGAGTTCTGTTCAATAAATGTTATTTTTATATATTGTGTTTTATTAACGCTGTATTGCTGTTAGTTAGAGAATATTTTGGTGTATTTTTTTTCTGCCTACTGTTGACTCTATGTCCAGTCCCAATTCAGATAACGATAAATTGTAGTTTTTTTTGCGAGGGGTAATTATCTAATATGACTTCTCACGCCCAGCGTGAGGCGAGAGGGTGTGTCATACTTATTGATTAAAAATCCATCCTGCGAGTCGTAAAACAATAACACATTTTCAACTTTATATCATTACTACTAAGGGCTGATTTTTCAATAGTCAGATAAATGTCATCTGAGGAATAAGGTCTTAAAGATTCTGACGCGACGGCATCATAACTATTCCCCAGATAACTTTTATCTAACATTAAAAATCATTCGATTCAAGTTCAAGATTGTTATGTTTATTACTTGAGTAAAACAATTGGTGCCATCAATAATGATCTTGGAAACATAAGTAAATGGGCTAAAAGTTTTGGACTATTAGTAAATCCTACCAAATCGCAAGCTCTCATTGTTGGTGGCAGATATTTTCTTAATAAACTGCAGTCTCCTCCACCAGTCTTATACGATAACGTTGCCATATCTTATACTACTTATGTCAAGAACTTGGGTGTCCTAATGGATTGTCATTTGTCCTGGGGTCTACACATTGCAGAAGTAAGCAGGAGGGTGTTTCACTCGTTTCAATCACTCAAACGTCTCCAGAAGTTCCTGCCTTTTTCAACAAAAATTACTCTTGCTCAGTCGCTCCTTCTCCCTTTACTAGATTATGCTGATGTCTGCTTCCTTGATGCGACTGAGGAACTTCTTGACAAACTCGAACGTTTGCAGAATCTGTGCATCCGCTTCATTTTCGGCCTTCGGAAATACGATCATGTGTCAGAATTTCGGAATCGTCTGAAGTGGCTGCCTATTCGAAAGCGTCGAGATGCTCACATTCTCTCTTTCCTCTACTCTCTTCTCCACAATCCCTACTCACCAAGCTATCTTCGGGAACGCTTTGAATTCCTCGTTCCTAGAGGCAAACCCTGTCGCTCCTCTTCATCTCTTCTTCTTCGTGTCCCTCCTCATACTTCGAGCCGTTATGATGGATCCTTCACTGTTCGTGCTGGGAGGCTTTGGAATTCTCTCCCTCACACTATACGCGAGAGCTCATCGTTAGATGTTTTCAGGGAACGAACCAGGGAACATTTACTGTCAAAATGACTATATATGTATGTATTTATATATGTATATATTGTATTTTTATGTATTATGTTTATATATTGTAGCTTTATTATATTATATATATTTATTGTCTTTATATATTGTTATAGTGTTTATATTTTCTCAGTAATGTGTTGTTGCGCACTTATGACTTTACCCTTCCATATCCAATCTCTCTATCGCTCTAAGGTTTGCTGTTAGAGAACCCAACTCTGGGTTAAGCTCGCCTTTGTATTATTATTTTTTTTTATTGTATTTTTATAAATGTATTTGTGTGCAATAAAGTATAATAATAATAAAACAACATTGAAGGTTCGAAAAATTTATAATCTTTTGGATGGTTTTTTATTTTAAACAATACATGGTTGTAAAGACAATATAGCCAGAGACAGAAGTCTGCATTGATTAGTAGGTACGTTTCTTTTTTCTATTTTGAAATAAAACCTTCATTTGACAAGGCACACCATCACCCCTCCCCCAAGTTCTTTTACATACCTATCTATACCCTTTTTACCGTTTCGCCCCCCTTTATTCCCCATTCCCTTAATAATTAATTAGACCAACATTACCCCTTAAAATAAATAATTTGGTCAAACATTTCCCGCCATTCTAAAACCAACTACCTACGCGCCCTCTGGATGACATCAATTTCGTATACTTTTACGCCATTGGACTTTATATTCGATTTGTTAACTTATAGTTTGCAATAAAGGTTGTTTTTGCTTGTCCAACTAATAAATGCAGTCGTCTGTTGCGTTTTGATGTTTTACATGAAGTCGGTGAAGGTGGCGGCGTCGACCATGAAATCGTCGTCCTCCTCTATCGCGCCTCCCGCCTGTGTTACAGCTGGAAATAATGCAAATAACGGTTAAATTACGATACCAAATACGTAGGTAGATACCTACCTCCCTAATTTAGGTGCAAACGCAATGATGTTCTGCGATCCGGGCTCGGAGTAAAAGAAACGGGTTGGTTTTCAACCAGTAAGAATTTGATAGGTAGGTACCTACTCCATATTGCTCCACCCAGGGTGAGATCATCTCCACTCATGGGATGAACAGACTTCCCACCTAAAAATGTACCTACCGGTTGCCACCAAACGATACCCTTGCTCCAGCTTAAGACTTACCTACTAGTGCGTTGCCGTTCTTTGTTGTTTTGCGTGGCTGTTTCGGAGATTCAGAAATTGAGGAAGGATTGTCACAGGTCTAAAACATTTTCTGCGAGGCCGTGGTGATCACTCAGGTCGAGCTGACTAACCCATTCGTGCCGAAGCATGGTTCTACCACATCTCATAAATAATAGAATACGTAAAAAAATATATAAGTAGGTACATACACAGTTTCTTAAGCTGCTGCATCATGTAGACCAACATGATGACGTACTCCGGCTTGGTTTTGGAGTTCTGATAGATGTTGTCTTCCAGATCTGCCGCCGAATACTCGTACAGGCCCGTCTCTTCTATTATGCTTTGCCTGATCAACAAAAAAGGTCAATGACTAATGGACCGAAATATTGGCGAAAAATTGTGGAAGATATGGACTTCTGATTAGTTTAAGGTAGTAGGTACATTCTGTTGCCCTATGTGAACAAAACTTGGGTTGTGCTTCACTGTGTGAGTAAGGTTACTGGAGGCCCCATCCGTCATACCTGTTATACGACGTCGGTTGGCTCGACCGGAGTAATACCACGGCCTCGGAAACCCGGCGTGAAACAACCACAGCGTTGTGTTTAGTCGTGTGAGTGAGGTTACCAGTGGCCCAATCGTTACCGTTCCCCGAACCCCTCCCCAATCCTAAAATCTCGCTATATCTAATCCCCAAAAGGTCGGCGGCGCACTTGTAACTCATCTGTTGTTGCGGGTGTCCATGGGCGGCGCTGATTGCTTATGTACCATCAGGTAATCCGACTGCCCCTTTGCCGTCCTAAAACATAAAAAAAGAAATATAATCCTCAAATCTTCAATAACCAATCTCTAAGTTGCGTCCATGGGCGGCGCCAATTGCTCACCATCAGATCCCGTTTCGTTCCATTAACATTTGAAATTTGCAGAGCAGAAACAAAAACGATCGACGCAGATAACAAAAAGATTGACAGTTTTCAAAAAAAAAAAGTAAACAAACAAACAGTTTCGAAAGAAAACAGAGTAAGGTAGGTAACTTGAGAGTCAATTTTATCGCTTATTGGTAAGAGAACAAAGTAGGTTTTTACTTCAACTTACATCTTGTTGACCATAGCCTGGCGGGAAGCTGGAGACTTCCACTTATTGTTGTCATTCGTGAGGATGAATGTGTCCGAATCTGACTGCTCCGAGCGTCCTGAGTCGATCGCCATCGCTTGGGCAAACCGCTCACAGAACTCCACAGAATTCACAAGCGACGGATTATATGGAATACTCCCCAGTTTAATAGTTTTTATTATCTTTATAAATCAAGCTAGACACGGCGCGGAACCTCTACAAGATAATTGTTAGACTATCAATCAATAACGTCAACGCGCATGCGCTATTTTGTTTTGACAACACTAGCCAAGCGCTATGCAGCGCTATCCTCATCCTAGACTGCCAAATGTCTTCTTTATTTTTTGGTGCATAAAGTTCAAATCAAATATTGGTAAATATTTTTTGCATCTGCAGGAGATGGTCGTTCGAGTTAAGGCTTTATTTCGTTTGAATTAGTGTTGATATTTATTTGGTTCGTATTACTGCACGCTGCATTTTGCTAAGTGCTTGAAACTTTAAACTATGATGCGTCGTGGCGGGCGTAGCATTAGTTGCTCTGCGCAAACTCGCCTTAAAATCTTTAATTTTATTCCACATACCAATTTTGCACCAAAAGAAGACAGGCAGAGGCCGATACACATACCTACGAGTCACTATTATTTCATACTTGATACTGCAACTTTTGAATCTCACTAAGATCTTTACGTGCGGGAATCGAACCCATAACACACTGCGCAGAAGCAAGTCGCCTAACCACTCCGTTAAACGTAGATACGCATACTGATCTGCCTGTCTAAGCTCTCACAGAAGATTTGAGCATTTTTAAGCACATTTTTGAACCCTTTTTACACTGAGTAACCCTTACTGAACATCAGCCCTATTGGGTCCTATCTGTGGTGGTCTGTTCGGGTCTGATTTTGGTCGGGCGGCTTGCTCGCCGTCCGTGGACCACGCTTTCGATGGCGGGAGATCGTTACGCGGTCTTGACGCCCTTTTCTGCAAGCATCACTGCTTCGTAAAAGCAGGAGACGGTTTTTCCTGTAGTTCCTTTCACTTCGCACTACCGTCGATTACCTACTACTGGTATTCAGCCCAAGTAGGGCACATCGCCAACGAGTCTTCTGGGTGGTCCTGACAATGAAGACACCCGGGCTTTTCCTCAGGCTTAATAGTTAGGTACAAGCCTTGCGTTAAATTTGTCTAGGGGCGCATGTGTTAGAAGTCTTCCTACTTACCTTTATTATATTTGGGTTCTACAAGGCTAATGTTCAGCCGGAGTGCAGGGTCAAGCGCAATAAGCTATCGTGACGTGACCCTGGCCTAGAGAATGAGAAGGAAAGGAATGGTTTTTCTTTTCAGACAAAGGAAGAGTCTGACATTCCCTCTCGCCTCACCCTTGGCGAGAGAAGTCGTTTGATGCTATTCCAGTTACATTCCAACACGAAGACTTTGGGTGGATTTTATAAAAATAATGACTTAAGCCTGTTACCTGGGGAATAATTATGATGTTGTCGCGTCAGAATGTTTGTATAAGACAGTGACAGCAACAATTCTTTTCCTCAGATAACATTTATCTGACTGTTGAAAAATCAGCCCACACTTACATCATCATCAGCCTACAAGTGCCCACTGCTGAGCAAAGGCCTCATCTCATACGGAAAAGGTTACCTAAAGAATTAATCACCACGCTTGCTCAATGCGGGTTGGCGATTTCAATTAGAAATCATAAGTCCAGGTTTCCTCACGATGTTTACCTTCACCGTATGGCAGTAGTGTCTAAATAATCATAGAAAATACATATAACTCGGAAAAAGACATATCGGTACTTGCCAGGTTTAGAACCGTGTGGGTTCCTCCTCATGCATGAAAAGCGGGCTGCTTAACCTCCGGGCCACCACGACATTACCTAATAACTTTGCTTTTTATGCAACACAGCTGCCATCTACCGTGAACTTTGCATTTGTTTAAATGGATAGTTCTCTTACACAGTGAGTGGTTGGATGGTTTTACATCAGATTGAATCAGGGGTTGGAGTTCCTACCTTGAGGAAAGAAGTAACAGAAACCAAACAGAGATGGCGTTAGCACTGCTATTCTAAATTTAAGTTTGACTTTAAAATGGATGTTTCGCGTCTAGGTATTAAATATTATTGTACGTGAATTTGTATATGCGTGAAACTGCATTTATCTATTTTGTTAAACGTTGTTGTATCCCAAGGGTGGTGGGTGGAAGTTTCGTGTAGTTTTAGTAGCTTTCGGTACCAAAACTTTCAAGCGGTTTAAAACAAGACCACGGTTTAAAAGAAGAGTGTTTATGTATTCGAGAGAGAGAGAGAAAGAAAGAGAGAGGAGGAGGGGTTTATATGTATAATAATAATTAGGTAATAATATACTATTTTTTTATGAGATTGTTGTTGATTTCCTGGTAAAATCATTCATTGGCGATACCGATTGCTTACCATCAGTTTATCAGTTTGCTTGTTTGCCGCTATACCTCATAAATTAGATATAAATGTGTGCACTCTACGCCAAAAGTCACTCCCATTGTCTCCCTGGGGTACAATCAGATTTTTCGGGAAATATTAATTGAGGAATAAAAGGCAAAAATAATATGTGATAAATAATTTATTGTCTGGCGGTATTTTTACAATATCATTGTATGCCTACATCAGTTTACTTTATTAATTGTTATTATCACTTTAATTTAACGTCTTAATTATTATAATAATGTTGCATTTTAAATATTGGTAGGTACGATATGGATGTCTTGAATCATTTTATGTTAAAAATCTTGATAGGTACTCATTTTGGAGAAGTTTATTTTGCAATTTATGAAGTTTTGATATCAGAAAATTATGAATTGATGACCCTAGAACTGTTTTTGTAAACTAATTAGACCTTATAAAAATATTACAATACAAGAATGATAAACGTTGGTAGGCGTTCTTTTTAATTGAAGTTACTTTTTGTGACGATAGATGGCTGTATATTAAGATACTGAGATATGTTTAATCAACCTAATTTCGTTGAAAATATTGATACAATAGCTTTGATTGCTTTGAGTGTCGTCTTTGTGATCAAAAATTGTTTGCGCACATTATTTTGAGAAGAAATGACATATTCTTATGATCTGTAGGTATTTAAGTTAACCTCTAAAATGATTTAGGACATCCATCAATTTATACGAAACACATAGGATATTATTCGAGATGACGCTTCTACATTAAAAACTATGTTTTTACTGAGAACACAGTTATGGCACATAACATCAGATGCTGTGTTTCGTTTTAACATTTTTTTGTCTTTACATAAAATGTCATGATTCTTTACGTTTTTAATCCTACTGCATTTTCAAAGTCGTTGGCAGAAGTGATTTTGGTTTGAAAATTTCAGAGAAATTATGCTTTTGTTTTTAAACTTAACGTACATTGTGGGTTTTAAAGTGTTGCTATCAGCAATATTTCACAATTCTTTAAACAGTATTGCCATAATTTCAATATTTTTGTTATTCCTAAATGTTTTGATCAATCACTTCTGCCAACGACCAGTCCGCTAAATACGTCATAATGGAAGATTGACAACTTTTTTTAAGTTTTTTGTACCTATATTTTTTAATCGCAACACTGATTCGAGACTCATTCCTTTACAGACAGACAAAACATAAAAGTTACACAAATTACAATAATTATACGTAGGGAACAAGTCTTGTAGTTACTTATTCTACACTATATTTAATGAGATAACTATAAATGCAAATTACGATTAATCTAGCGATGCTTTGGCATTGACAAAACATGGTATCTTACTGTTTGCCCAGAATATCTTGGGGTGGCGCTGCTTGCTGTGAAAAGTGGTTAGTTCCATTTTTCGCCACGTGCCAAAATATACTGGGCACACAGTATTTTTATTAACACTTACGTTTTGATACTTTTAGTTCGGGAATGATAAATACTGCGGTTAACCAGTTGTAAACTGTTTTAAGGAAAGGAAGTGAAATATACATTTTATTTGTTGCAAGTTTGCGTTCTTGTAAGCTTTAAAAAACATTTTAAACATTCAAACTGCGCATGATTTTGTATAATTACATTAAAATTGTATAGATCATCGATCTAAATCAATATTTTATTCGAAGACAGATTCTTCTATATTCATTTATTTGAAGCGACAAGAACGCAAAAATAATTCAAATTTAGATTTTTTTTAAAAGACAACTGTTTAAAAAAAGTGACACTGGTAAATTAAACCATATTATGGAATCAGCACCTGCTTTATGGAGTAGAACAATTTGCCTAATAATTAATTAATATTAAACAAAAATTAACAACAAAAACACAAGAACAATCACTTAGAATGAATGGTAATAATATTTAGTAATATCTTTACATATATTTACAATTTTGGTAATATTTTTTAACCGTATACTAATACAATGACGAAGTTTAACTTTTAACTAGGAAATTTACAGTAACAGAGTAACAAAAACCTTAAAATTATTGAGGGCTTGTATGTACATTAGCCAATATATTAAAAACTTTTTGCCTCAAGAACTTAAATGAGTAAGAATTTTTGAGTTTTTGCTCATGTGAGTTCTTGAGGCTTTGAAGGGTTAAGAAAAAACATATATTAGCTTCTCCTACGCCATAATTACGTAACTATAAGTTCAGAAATAGTGGCGTAACTCAAGCTTAATTTTATATTTGCATTTTGCCTTTTACATTTTTATATTTTAACATCGAATCGTAAATTTGAAACATCGATTTGGCATTGATATGCAGTACAAGTTAAATTTTATAATCATTAATTTATTGCACAATCATTTAATTTTAGTTTATTTCAAAACGAGAGGATACATTCTTAGTCTAGGATTAATTACAAGAAATTCTGGTGAAGCAACATAAGCAATAATGGTTTCTGCGAGCAATATTTTCAGAGTAAACATTGATATAAGGAGGACTTACTGTTACGTATCGCCATAACGTGAGAATTCATCAAAATATACGTAAATGTTATAACAACTTGAAACAGAAAATCATAATATTTAATTTTGAATACAATTTGTATCTGTAGTCCTAAAATGTTTATGGTGACGACTAATAGATGGCGCTACTAGTCACCTTGATTTCAAGTTCCTCGATGAAACTACGAAAATGGGATACTAACGTTGCCCGCAACTCACATAGTAAATTTTATACGCCAAGTATTCTATAAGATTGAAATTCAAAGCACAGGCGTGTCTGTAACCCTCGCGGGGGTGGGCACATTATTGTTAGCCGTTGCATCTTGATTGTTGGCAGTACAATAAAACTGCTTATGAGCCTTATAAGTGTTGACGTATTTGAAGGAAATGTCACAAGACTTGCAGTAGTTTGGAGTTTCCTCGAGTTCTGTCTCGGGTTCCTTCTTGATGTCAACTGGGGGTGGGGGGACGGGGGAGGTCTGTTCCTCTTCTGGCTCGTCGGTGGCGTGTACGAGGCGCGCGTGTCGCACGACGTTGCCGCGGTACGTCGACGTGTACGCGCAGCTGCCGCAGCGATGCACGCGCTCCCCGCCCACCGCCGGGCTCGGGGACGTTGCTTCACGACTGTCCTCTTCTAGCACGCACGAAATGTAGCTCTCTTCCTAAAACGATGAAAAACAAAGTTTTAATATTGGTGTAGGGTTACTACAGTTGTTAAAAAGTGAATGTCTTTTGAGGAAATTGTTTTTATGACGATGCAATATTTGTTTGTAGTATTTAGTGATACCAACTTACCTGCAAGTCAGCAGGCTTCTTGTTGTTGAAGTGCATACGTATGTGCGTGCGCATGCCCCGCAGCGTGTTGCCCCGGTACCGGCAGATGGTGCAGCGGAAGGCCTTCACGCCGGCGTGCGCGTCCATGTGGCGCTGCGCCGCCGCCGCCGTCGGAGACACTACGTCGCAGCAGGGACACTTCCACCCCCCCTCTGATCCAGACGTGGGCCGTGGAACCTCCGGCACACTCCGAGGAGATCGAGTTTCGCGTTTAGTGCAATAATACGACTGATGAGTCGTCAGGTTATCCAGCGAGCTGAAGTGTATTCCACACGCGAGACATATCAGTTGACGGTACTGGGGCGGCGGACCAGGCTCTGGTGGCGCGGGACTCGCGCGCTCCTCGCCCCCTCCAGCTGAGCAATAATGTCGCTTATGTATACGGTAGTTCTCATATTTACAGAATACGATGTTACATTCTTTGCATTTGGAAACTCCCTGCTTCACAAGCACTTGAGGCGATGCACCAGTAACTGGTAGTTCTGATGCCAAACGCAATGCTAAAGCTGGTGGCAAGATTGCAGGAGGAACTATGGGTGCGAACTTTTCTTCAGGAGGAGACGGCACACTTGGGGGTTTGGGCGTCGGTCCTCTTGAGTTTAATCGCCTTCGCTTTGGTGAACTTTCTGCACTTGGTGAGGAAGACCGCCGTGAGGGAGACGGCGTTCCTGGAGATCCTGGTAGAGAAGGAGCACATACTATTTGCTCAGGAGTCGTGGACCGTATTCTATTCTCTTTTTCATGTTCATCAGTGACTACTGATTCTGGGGATCGCCGCACACTGAGATCCAGTGGAGTCACACCCCCATCTCGTGATGGCTCTCGGGGTCGATTGGCTGATTTTAACACCTCGGTTTCTTTTCCATCAGAGTTCATATTGGATAATGCCCGACTGATTGGTTGGAATGTACCATTTGGTAAAAGAAAGCATGGCGTATCTGGGTCTGGCAGTGTTGCACCAGGGAGAGTACTGGCACCCCGAAGTAATGAATACGGTACAATGAGTATAGGATTCGTGGGTAGAGCGAGTGCGTATTGGTTTTGGTTTTGCGCTGGTGGTGTGGCTCCTGGCGACGGTGGGGCGGAGCCAGACGTTGCAGAACCACCACGAGCTGCCGCTAAAGCTTGTTTGACGACTTGTCTTGTGCTGCAGTAGTGTTGTTTATGGGCACGGTATGTTTTTATTGAGCTGAAGCGAATATCACAATCAGCGCAGTATCGGTCTTGTACCGGTGGACCGTCTGTGACTTCTCCGTTAGAGGTAGGCGTCGGCGCTGGAGTTCCACTGCTGACCGGAGATGAGGAATGCATTCTCATGTGGCGGTTCAGGCTCACTTTTTTATCTGCACTATATGAACAATACGTGCAAGCATACTGCTTACCGGCAGGTCGCGGAGTCTTTGCGTCACTGCTGGACTCATCTGCGACAGGATCAGATGAGGCATTTGGCCCTTCTGTGGGTTTTGGAAGTCTATTCGAACAGTAATGTTCTTGATGTGCTTGTAGCGTACTTAACGATGAATATCGTATACCGCAGGGTTTGCATACATAGCTCGGCGGACCAGATGCTGGAAATAGCCCTGGGAAGGCTGCCGCCGTTATGGCGAGGTAGTCTCTCGCGGCCTGTGGTGCTGCTGCTGGTGGTGGTGGAGGAGGAGATGGCGACGGTGGCTCATGTTTGAGCGTCGTCGCCTGCGGAGCCAGCGCGGGGTCTGTAGCAAGGCTGGTGTTGAGGCGCAAGCGAGGCGGTGAGGCAGCAGGTGAGCCCCCCGAGGCAGGTGAGGCGCCACCGCTGGATGCGGCCCGCTCTCCCTCTGAGCTCGGCGTGCGAGGTTCTCCCGGCATCGCCTCGCTCTCGTTTCCCCATTCCTCGTCCTCACCTGAAAACAAAAAATACAAGTCAGAATCTATCGCGTGCGCACCTAAATGCAGAATAATGCAGTAAAAAGAATGCATGGCATATCGACTCCTATTAGTGTTGTTAATAGCTATGCGATGGTGAGTTGGCAGCGACGTCCCGCGATAGTCGTCACTCGTCACGTTTCGTCTCGTATCTGTCGACGTCAGTCAGATGGAGCGTCGCGAGTCGAGGCATACATTAGCGCTCCTAATTGAGACGTGGCCGCGCTATGTAAATGTCGCCGCGTGGGTGGGGCGCGAGCACCGGCCACTCGTCTTAACAAATGCGAGAAATGTGGACGAGATTAAGTTCGCGCACTCGGGATGGTTAATCCGTCATTACGACCGATGCTCGTCCATCAATATCGTGCGCGGGCCCGCGGCCAAACAGAACAAAAACTTAACGGGCCCCGTTGTAATTGGATCTGATTTCCAGAAAACGCTCGCTCACCTTCCTTTTTGAGCGACAACGATCTCTACCGAGCGAGGAATTAACCTATCTTTCGCGCAGCGATCTCGACTCAAAACGCCAATTAATGAGAGGCTCAACTTCATTCTCCTGGCCCTGTGAAGATCATTATATGGGCACGACAGCGAGATGGACGCGACGATTGGTGCGGCCGCGCACCGACCGCCATCTCGCGGTAACGAACACTGCTCGGATCGGATTGCGTTCGGGTCACGCTATCCTAGTGTGCGCGCGTTCCGATTGGTCATTACGATTGCTCGGTGACGCGCGATTGGCCGACTAATGCTGCTTTATCTGGCAGCTTAATGTTAGCGTCATACTGAACGCGAGCTTATCGTGGTTCGTTAGTCGCGCTCCAGCTTCTGTTTTTCGCTAAATAAGTTATAAGCTTGTGATTGTTGGCTTGGCGAAAGGTTGTCCGGACAATCAGATAGATGGCGTGACTCGGTGTCGTTTATGCGGTGCTCGCGAACTGAACGTCGATTCGTTAAATGATATACATCTGTGCCCTTTGTCTTTATAAACATGTCATTGCGTCTGTACAAGAGAGAAACATGCGACTCATGTATCCGTTGAAAGCTAGCCCGCATAGTTTTGACTAGAAACCACAATGAGCTGGTTAGATTAGGTGTACCCTTTGACTGCAAAGTTGCTTCACGGATGCAGGAGAACAATGCATGTTGTTCAAAATTTGTATAATTAAGCAATGGTATTTAATATTAAATGTTATTTGAAACAAGGCCGACAAGCGTCATACACGTGCCTACACACGTAGGGAAAAAACAAAGCGGCCATCTTGTTAAGGTTTTATCTGGTTTGAGATCAGGGTCCAATTAAAATAGTCGTGCATCGGTGGCGTCACAATCGCAGTGATTCAAATCTGTGATTGTGACGCGTGTGAGCGATCACCTAGGACGCGCGCTACCACGGGCTGCGGAACAAAATCTCGCTTGATAAGTAACTCACCGTAATCGCTGAGCACTCAAGACTATCTAAGATAACAGTGTAAATAAATATGGACGCTCATTAAATATTGGTTTAGGTACTTGTGTAAATATAGCGTAAGTGAATGGTACAGTCATTTGTGTTCGACTTTGTCGAGACCTTCATGTGTCGCTGTTAATCTTCACATTGAAAGTTCATCAAGTTACTTTGTATAAATTATTACGTTGTCAGTAGCTAGCTATCTCATTCATTTATTGCTTTGTGAATAGACGTTGATTTGCACACTAACCAAGAGAATAAATATATTAGGTATTATTTTTTCAAATCATTCGACATTCATTCTACCACAAATGGTAGTGGTTCTCAGTCGAATGACATTCGCCTCGAATCCAAGTCGATAGTAAGATAGTCCAAGATAAAAACTAAAACATTGAATATAAATTAATGACATTCATCTGAACTACATTAATATCGTGTTTTTTATAACTGTCCCCTTGGCTTTATAACTAAGTAATGATTGATTGGTATTTCGAACCGCTAGATGGCAGCCTAGGCGCTGAAAGAGTACCTACATACTTTACTCTTTGCAAAATGATATTTCTACTTGTTTTTTGTGGAAAGTTGGAGAAAATAATGGAAACAAATACTACCACGTTATATCCAGATCCAGAAAAACAACTCTCATCTGTGATTTAAGCGGGATTTAAATCTGCAGCACGATATAAAACACTGGCTACTGAAGCAAACGTATCCTCTGTCATATAACTCATGTTTGTGTCCTATGATTAAAAGCCAAGAACTAGAATAAAACTACATTAAAATAATTAAAACGTCAATCAACCCAGACAAAAATCTAAACAATAACAATCTTTCCATCTAAACTAAAACATTTATCTATGATTTTTTTTAAACATGTCGTCTTAACGTCACTACACAACATTATGACCGCCATTACCAGTGTTGCCAGATCGTGAATAAAAAAGCTACTAAAAAAGTTTCGAACAAAGAGTTGAGTGACAAAGTCGGACGAGATTATCGTTGCACACATCTTGATTTATTTGTGTTTGTTGAGCTGGGGAGTGTGTACATCTATCATGCGTGGACTGCGCGATAATATCATAGGTGTTTAATACTAGAGAGCGGGAATTACTTGAATGAAGCTGATGGTCTGTAACTTAACTCGTTTTGCGATAGTTGTAGACGTATGTGTGAATTTTGGGCAGCTTTATTGTTGCTAGGTGTCTTATCTTTAGCTAGAGTACGAATTCGTTTTATTTACGTATGAGTATAAATACCTACTAAAAGTTTAATATACAAAGGCTAAGTAACGATCTTTAGAGCATCTAACCTCATTCCATCTCATTACTCTGAAATCTATAACAAAACTCATTGGGAACAATTCTCAACGACTCCCATCCACGCTATTTACACATAAAAAATATTCTCAAGTACATATCATTGCGGTGATCTTCAGCAAGTGTCCGGCAGGATGAACGTCGTGCGTCACGATCGGACGCGCATTAACATATCGCCGGTTCGATTCCGCTATCGTTACGCCCTACGCTGTGCTCACTGCTCACTGGGGGACAAGTGCCCGTTTTGCCACGATACGATATTCTGTTAGGCGTAGGTATATTCTTGTATGATTTGTTTGAGTAAGTGGCTTACTAGAGTTTTTTTTAATGATGGAGTTAAGTTTTAATGTCTCTGTAAGGTTCGCTGTCTTTCTTTTAAATCTATGAAAATTTGTACTGGCATTTTATTTACAATGCAAAATGTGAGATGGGCTGCTAGTCATTAAAGGATTGAGAGCCAGCTATTATTAGCCAAATATGTAAGTATCCGTTTATTAACGGATGTAGGCCTCTCTGATAGCACACTGAGCACACTGGGATCGATATAATTCGTATGGTATGACTTTCAGTTTTTATATTAAAGTATTATTTTAACTGCTTCAAAATACAGACACCAAAGATTTAAATCTATTCAATAAGCACGATAGTTGCTAACCAATCCAACGGCGAAGCATTGAATGAAACAAAACACTTGCAATGGAGACGTGTCGAGCAAAAACGTTGGTAAGTAAACGTAGTACGTAGTAGATAAACATTTCCTTGCTGTGTCCACGTCCTGGCTCATGACGAATAAATCTAGATGTCCACGCCGGCCGCGATAACAGTAACGTACAGCCGCGATGTTGGTATGAGACCGCGATAAATGTTGCCACGGTTAGTTCGTTATCTTCGGTGTTGCAAACAAAAAATATTATGTCATTTGGTAGAAATTTGTTGATGTTGTTTTTTTGACGTTTAGCTTTTGTTCTTGAGTATTTGTTTATAGATCATATCAATATAGATACAAGTGTTATTATAAATATACATTGTTCAGTTATGGTTATCGCATTAGAACGAAATAACTCGATCTATGTATATCACTCACTGAGGGCATTACCTCTATAAGTGAAAGTATAACTAAAATTGATATCTAATTTAACAAAAGAATCATTAATCAAATCGGCAATACATCACTTTAAATTACTTTTAAAAACAGTTTAAAACTTAAACCCATAATTAAAGACGTAGTAATCAACCGAATACCTTTCCTAAAACATTAGTATAGGCAATTATATTCCCATTCGTCTGTTAATATTACAAACAGTACTCGTAATAGGGTACATAGACTAAAGTACATGTTTTATACAATATTAATTACACACTTTAATTAACCTAGTTTTACGTGGTAACTAAATATCGTCAAAGCAACCCCTTGCCGGCAAACGAGTGGTTGTAATCGTGTAGCGAAATCTCAACCTCTGTGTATGATTGATGTAGGATTTAATATTCATGAGTGTTGCCACATGTGTGAAGTATGTTTCTAATTGATACGGTATTTTGGTAGTTTTACGGTTTCATTTTTTTGGCGATTTCAGTTGTTATTTTAATGAGGAAATAAAAAGTTAAAAGTTTATCTATAAAATGTGAAAGTTACGATGTTGGGATGTTTGTTACTCAATCACGCCGAAACGGCTGGACGGATCTGGACGAAATTTGGCACAGGCATAGGATACACTCAGGGATATCTTCGGGATATACCTTTTATCAACGTAACACGCGGGCGGAAGCTAGTATTTAATATTTCGAAATGTACCCAACCTTTTGTGCTTGGAAGTCATCTCCTCGTCACTATTGAGTTTAATATTGTCGAAAATCTTGAAACTAAATTTCATGGTTAATATATGAAATTACATATAACTTGATACTTTACATAGAGAGGAACTTAACTTTATTACCCCTACTATCTCCCAAAACAAAATCTGTACAAAAATATCAAAACATGAGATCAAAATTAATAACAGCATATCGGATAGATCAACATTGTACCAACACCTATACTAGTTATTAAAGCTAAGCGTATCAGCTGATCGTATGCGCAAGATTCGAATAACATGTTATCTTAGCCTCGAACAGATATATTTTTATCTCGCTTTCACATCAAATTTTGTGATGTGTGAACTTTGTTAGATGGTTTTATGTTTTTTCAGTGTTTGAGAGCCATGATGTGACCACA